GTAAATAAATAAAGTTTGTTCATTTGAATTCGTTTAGAAAAGAATCGTGTAAATGGAGTATTTTTAGTTTTTGCCAATATAAAGAGCAGATAATTAATAAGGATTCATTTTTGCAATTTTTCGGAGTGTAATGGAGGTTTTTGGTTTTGAGGAATATAAAAATAATATCATTTTTTTCCCCTCGATATTCAACTCTTCGATGCAAAATTGAAATTTTACAGAATCTCTCCAATCCTCCCTATTACTTTCTATAAAAGGAAAATTCCAAAGATTAAAATGTTAAAAGCATTTAGCTGTTATTGTGAAAATAATTGCATTTCACTGTTGAAGAAAATCTATGGAAAAGAAAAACTTTGATTAAATACCGACAGAATTGTATAAACGTTTCCAATAGAAGATTTCTACCTTCCAATTCTACTTTCTATGCATTGGTAAAAATGTTTACTAATTTTACTTTTTGCTTTTGCATTAGGAAATTTTATTCATAAATCGTAATTTCTACTCATCTATTAGTAAAATTTACTAATTCAAAAGCAAAAAGTCGCAGTCACTAATAAACATTCGTATACTAAATAGAGTATCTTCTAATATTGTCGCACAATATTTAACAACATTAAGTGTAGAATATTAATAAATAAATATCAAACAACAATTAAACAAAAGGACGAAAATAACGATTAATTACAGCGATTATAATAATAAAAATAGAAAAAAATTATTTATATGTAAATACACATAAAAATGATTTTGAAATGGAAAGTGCGCGCTTGTGGTTTCTTCAGGTTACTTTCCGGTCGTTAGGGATTGATTTCCTCCATCATATACACGTAACGAAGCACAATATTCTGTCTTGAGTGCAAATATAAATGGTATCTTTCATCAGGAATTTTAAATTCACTGAATTTATAAAATCCATATACGAGAAGGTCTGCTCTTTAATTTTGCCCTCCGCTCAACATGTGGATAAACACATACAATATGCGGGGGAGATGTAAAATCATTTTATAAGAATTTCAAATATTTTCGCGCCCATTAAGTGAAAGTAAAACAAAGAAAGTCGGTTTGTTATCAGTAAAGCGAATTTTAGCAAAAAACACTTTCTTTTTTTCCTGCTCAAACATTTTTCTCATTCAATTAAGTATACCTATTACTTCGAAAAATATTTGTTGTTTTAAAACATCAATTTTGATACCTAAAATTTTAATATTTATTATAAAAAATGACAATAATGATAATAATAATAATAATGAAAATAATGATAATAATTAAAATAACGATAATGATAATAATGTTAATGATAATATTGATGATAGTGATACGTAATGATGATAACACTACTAATTATGATGGTAATGATTTTGAAGAGTAAATACACTCGATAAACATAAGGTTATTGACATTAAATATTTATTGTTCATTATTCACAATATTCACAAATTCGCATTCCTGAGATTTTTTTTTTTCTTTAAATCTTATTGCGAAAGAAAGGCATTTCCTGTATACGCGAAATTAAAATATTTAGTGCGTAAAAATATTTCAGGATAATTTTCGCAAAATAAAAATTTGGAAAAATAAATAATTTACACGAATGTAGAAATATGTTTTTCAAACTGGAGTTTATATTGCTGCTCTTAATTGTAAAACTTTTTATATAATAATTCATTAACTTGAACGACTTTAGGAGTCGGGAAAATATAATAGGCACGTATTACATTTCCAAGAGTAGTACACAGCGATAACCATATCTTCTTTCGTCATGGACGAGTGTAAAACTTTTTTTTGCACAATACTATTTTTCCTTTCCACTATCATTCAAATTGCATTTTTCCAAACGTTTCTTTTAAGCTAATTGTATTTTTTTTATATATGAGTTAAAAATAAGAAGTAAATGTTTTGAATTATTTAAAATTTAAAAGATTCGATTATGACAATTTTTACATTTTTAGTTTTATTTTTGCAATTTCTTGTCTGGTTTTAATTGAAATTGTATAATTCGCTGAGATAAGTGAATAATCGAAAGCAAATTAATTAAAAATACATTAATCATAGTCTTTATTGAAGATATATTGGTTGGGGAAAATTAATAGATTTATTTTAATAAGAAGGAAAATAAATTATTGAAGATACAGTAATCAAAGAGCAAATTAATTGATAGTGGAATAATCAGTAGGTATGTTAGTCTCGAAAAATGAAAGAGCTGAAAAAACAGAAACATTCACGAGTTGATAATGATAATTTTGATAATGATTTGTCAATGATTTTTCAATAATTACGTTCTTAGAGACTCAAATCATTCGGTACTTGTACAGTTTTTTTAAGAATATCAAGTTGAGACGAAAAACGTTTCAAAATAATTGTTGAGATGCAACATTTTGATAAATTAATGATCCCATGATGGTGTCTCTATTTCAGAATCTTAGAAAATCTCTGTATGAAAATACAGAATAGTTTCTTTATTTTCTTTTAAAGAAACAAAAATAAATTAAGATTTCGAATATAAAAATCCTTCTCTCGCTTTGTAGTTCATTATAATGAGCACATCCAAAGAATATTTGAACGATGTTCGAGCACTTTCCCTGCACAAATAGATATATATTTTTTATGTCTTTAAACTAAAACTAAATGGATTGTATGGGATGCACTTTTGAAAGCGCAATGAAGCAGATAACAAGAATATATAATACACATTTGTAGCGAAAAAAGAATTTCTCTATATTGTTAACGTAGTTCATGTAAAAAGAAAATTAAAATAGTAACCGCACTTGTATATACAGTATTTGGAATTGTTATTATTTTTCATCTCGTTTGACTGGATAAAAGCCGTCCCTGGAATTTTATGATGCATTCCACTATATATTCCAGATTTTAAACTCCGCATTCCAAACTTTAGAATCGCAAAACTGATATTTTCCACTTGCATAAATAACAAATATACTATATGCGATTGGAGAGAAAACTTTTGTTGCGGTTCTTGTTTTTCGAAACAATTGCTGAAGAAATGAAAACCAACAAATGCGGAAGAATTGAATTCAGAATTCAAACATTGAATTTAAATAAGAAGTAAAGGAAACGTTTAATTAAAGTGAGAACAATTTTATTATTATCCGGACTTTTTCCTCATCTTGAAGCCAAAATTTTAACCAAAATTTTTTACACTGCTACAGAAATCTTGTAAAAATAAAGAAATTTTATTGAGTATCTTCTGAGTCAAAGTCGAACTAGGACCTGCCCGAATAATTAGAGTAGTTCGGATTATCAAGTAGAGTGGACCACTCTATTGGAAAAATGATAGACGTGAAATTGATGGAAATGTTTTTCATTGTCAAAGAAATGAAGGAAAAATAACAGAAGTAGAATTTTCTTTTCTATCTTCAAGAAAGGAATGCAATTTAATAGAAATGTAGAGTCACGTGCTGCGTAGAAGACACAATGCCGGTTAAAAAACCACCCTGTATGAGCTGCTGGAACTGTATAAAGTGTATAAGCTTCGGATATATATTTTCGTGAGGAAGCATATATGTGGAGAAGAAGCATATATGTACGTTGAAATACTAATACAAATTAAGGTGCAAAGGAACGTCAAAGAAGAGAGAAGTATACCATGGCCAGCAAGTTTTGCAGGACGCTCCCTTCCTTGGCAACTGGGTCTCATTTTAATTCTCTTCCAAACAGAGAGGAGATTCGAAAGAGGAAGGTTTAGCAGCTGTTATTACTGCATGTTGTGACCTGCATTATCGAAATCGATTTTTTCTTTCTTTCTTCCTTTATGTCTTTCTTTTTTCGACAAACACAAATTTCCTAGCACCCACACTTTCCTTTGTCTTTCTAATCAACAGGTGACATCATTTTTATCTCCTTGTATAATGGCTTAGATTAGTCTCTTAATTTAATTAGATGACAACAACAACACGAGCTTTTCTCTTGTGTACTTCACTTTTCCGTCTCATTTCAGAAATTTAGAACAAAAAGCTTTGAAAAGTTTAAGCCATAATCTGATGTTTCTATAAATAATCATAAAGCACTTCAAAATTATTCCCTGCTTTAAAAAGTTTAATTATAATGTTTCTGCAAATAATAGTAATTTTGAAGGACAAGTTCTTCTTAATTATTCCCTATTTGAATAAGTTTAACCCATTCCTTAATGCTTCTATAAATAACAATAACTTTGTATAATTTTAAAGAAAAAGATCTTCGAAATTATTCCCCGTTTTAAAAAGTTTAAACCATTGCTTAATATGTACTATCACAACTTTTCTAAAACTTTTGATTCGTTTTTCGTCTCAATTTGACATCCTTAGAAAAGTTGTGATCAACAATAAATATAACAAACAATAAAATATAAAAAATTTGTAATCTTATATGTATAAACAAATTGTTCATGTAACAGTTTAATCAATTGTGCAGTTAAGTTAATTCATTCTCGTTTGTCCATAATCAACAGGTGCATAATAATTACCTTTGAACTCTAGACTGAAACGTAATTTCCACAAATAGACAATTATGTAATTAAAAATTCCAATTATTTGCGCTCTAGGAATGAAAAATGGAAATTTTATTCTCTTCTTTTGAATTAATCCTTTAACATCAGCAGCTTTTTATCAGCGCGGGAAAATATCCCTGAATTCCGGGAAATGTGGGTCAGGGCGCTCGCGCAAAAGTTCATATTACATACAGTGAATGGGTTAGTAATTAATTATTATAATAGTGAAAAAGAAGGGTAAAATAATATTGTTAAATATCAGAAAATGAAAAAATGGACAAATTAATTAATGGACAACGTAACGTTAACCTTTCTATAGAGTACTTTTTAGAAAAAAAAAAATTCTGCATGCTAACAGTTTTGCAGTTTCTCAAATGGACCTACATCGATTTTGTTTAATCTGGGTCAAAATGTATTCTATTATCTATTCTATTATTTATTATATTGTGAAAATAATAAGAAAGGGAATTTTAATAACGAGGGTGAAAAAAAGATAAAATTTAAAAAAACATTTTCTTACTTTTCTTTGCGCCTCAGCAGCAAATCCTGATTTTGTAGCTCTATTACAAGCCATGGTTTTTTACTCTAAATGTTACACTGGCAAATTTTATAATTTTTGTCAAAACTTTTTTTTTATTCTTCGGGCACAAAAAAATTTTTTTGGAAAAAAATTTTTGCAGATGATTTACGTCACTTAATTTTTAAAGAGACATGAGATGTTTACGCTTCGATAGCGGCACTTGTACTGGATCCCTCGAGCAGCAATGTGAACCGGCGACAACGTCTGGAAACTCCCCGCCCGTTTTGTGTGTACATATATTAACTGCGAGAACGTCCTCTCGATTCGTATTGAGTTTTGGAAATGTCATGTGACCTACGTTCTCCACTTGGTCCCGGAGATGACGTCATTCTCCTTCTGCCTGGAGAAGAGTGTATTCGATCATCATCATCATCAGAATTAAGTGAAATTTTTTTTCTTTCAATTTTCATGTTGGGGAATCACTCTCTAAATTCCAGCAAGGGTTGTTGGTTCTTTGTTTTGATTGTTAACTTTTATTTTCTGGTTTTGCAAATTGTAAGTGAAGAAAGATTGAGAAGAAATATCACAATAATTTTCTTCGTATTAGGGCACAGCTGTAGCTATTCTTTTTAGCCAACACTGTGGCAATTGCACTGAAGAAATATCGTCATAACATTATTGGCAGTATTAAGGCAAACCTGAATCTATTGACAATATTTTAGTTAATTTAAAAAAAAAAAATTATTTTACATAGCTTTGAAATTGCTAATTAATTATTGCAATATATTGTTATGACGATATTTCTTCAGTGCAATTGCCACAGTGTTTATAACATATTTTACAAAATAGAGTCAAAATAGACAGAGCAGCAATACATGGGCAATGTTCTGAAAATCTAGAGTGGAATAACTAATCTGGCATTTTGTTATTCATTTAAATTTTGTCTTAACGCGTTAAAAACACGTGTGCAAATTAAATAATAGCCGCTTGTAAGTTCGTGCAACCGTGGTAATGAGTTTCCATCACACGGTTTTCAAAGCGGAAGTTTTAAAATTCACTATATACAAAAACATTTTTATATAGGGTGCTGTATATGTTTATAAGTCATTGGGATTGTATACACGGTTCCCATGCGGTTAGTCTGTGACCATATATGCGTTTAAAGGGAACATTGTTTTTTAAGTCCAATCTTTATTAATAATTATAAAAATTTCTCTTCAATGAAATTTTTTTTTAATGAAGAAAGAAGAAAAACGGAGTAAAAATTCAGTTTTCTTCTTTTTTAATTATATTTAGTTATCAGTATATATAATTAAGTGATTTTTTTTTATAAGTAAACTTGACACTATTTTTTTTCTCTCCAGTGGATTTTTTTCATTATTAGATTTAGAGAAGTAATCTGTGTCAGTAGCTTAGTGGATAAATAAAATCACCTATGATTCAGAGACATATGGTTACGAATTGTAAATGAAAACATACATCTGTGTCAAAATAAATAAGGTGTATATACACATAAACAGGCAAAAAGTTGAGAATTCGATTACGATGCGACCTTCGTGCAGGAAGCTTTAAACCTTGATATGACAACATTAAAAGTGCCTATACGCTTTTACGCACTTATCAAAAATCTAAATTCAACACTTTTTTTCGCCTTTCAGTGCTTTTTTGTCAATTGTTTCCTCTGTTTACTAAAAAACAATTAATATCACTGCGCATATTGTATATAATTTTCATCAATGAATTTATAGATTCATATTCGATACAATTAATTTCTATTAATTATTTTAAAATAATTTCTTCATTTTTATAAAGAGAAAATCTAACAATAAGTTTAAAACAATATGCTTTAAATATTTTATTTAGAACCAATTTTGGGAATTAAAATTTTATTAGCTTTATTTAAATACCAAAAGATGGTTTTGAAAGTCCTTTGTTTCAATTTGACAAACTTTTTAACAGTATGAACATTTCACACGTGAGGTGAAAGTTTAAAAAGCTTGAAAATTGTTTCACTTTACGAAATTTATATATATATATGAATGAATAAATGACTTCACTTCAATATTATAATAATATTATATTGAAGCTACTGTGAAACTTTCATAATTTCCATTTTAGAAACATCATTTATATATGTACCTATATTTGTTATATATGAAGAGCTCTGGATTCGAGTTTCGTTATTCAAAAGAGGAATATGAGTTGAAATAAATTCCTTCCTCTTAAATGGAATTCTACTTCTAAGCTCTCGACTTTATTCAATTATAAGAAGATATCGTCTTACTGAAGAAATATATATATATTTCTTTATGTTTTTAAAATTTTTCATATGCAGTAGTGAAATTTTTTTTCAAAGTTATTTGTATTCTATTTTTTTAAGGGGAAAAAAATTTTCTCTTAATATACAAATTCTATAAGGGAAATTGCAATGTGAAGAATTCTTCAACAATACGTCAAGGTCGAGGACGCACATATATGAAAGTCTTACGGTCATGGACACTTTGAACATTCACGCACATTAATATTTTCTTATAAATATTCCCCTTAAGCTGCAATTAAAAAAATAATAATAAAAAAAAATTAGGTACTTTTAAATTTAAATTAATAAAAATGTTTAATAATTTGAATCAGTGACTGACTTTTTGCTTTTGAATTAGTAAATTATAGTAATAATTAGTAATAATTAATATTTATTAGTAAAATTTACCAACTCGAAAGCAAAAAGTCAATCACTAATTAAAAATTTGGTGAAAAAAAAATTCAAGAAAGAAAGGATTGTAGATTGAAAATAATATAAATCTTGTATTTTTCTTTTTTAATTATATGACAATTTTTATTGTATTTTGTATACTTTCTCCATTAGCGATAAAATAGTTCTAATAAAATTCCTTTCAATTCGATATATTATCAAATGGTCTTTCAAATAAGAAAAGGTCACGAATAAAACGGTTAATGTTCATAAACCGTTGAATATTAGAAATGCATAAGACTCAACTTGCATTTGCATATCATCAATAATCTATTATTAACTTATAAATATTTTAAAGAAACGCATATATATATATATATATGTCATATTACAAAATCAACATTACGCAGCAATATTAAAGCAACATTGCATATTAATATAGTAAAATATTTAGTTCAAATTTTGTCTTTTCTTATTTATCTATAACTAATCCATTTTTAAAAATTACATTGAACCTGAAATGGAAATTTATAAAAATTAATAAAGTTTATAAAGTTTATAAAAATTAATAATTAATCGAACTATTTAATTATTCATAATATTTTTCTTTTGCTGAAACTATTTTTTAAATATTTTTTAATAAAAAATAATTAGTTAAAAAAAATAATTAATTGACCTGACAAAAAATAATTACTTTTATTCATTTACATGTTATTATACATGTATTTTATTTATTTTTTATATTTTAATTTTGTTTATATATTTTTTAATTAACAAAATAAGTTTAAAAAATAAGAAAATATGAAAATAAAAATAAAATTTACAAATTTTATTTTTATTTTCATATTTTTTTATTTTTTGAACCATAATTATTTTGTTAATTAAAAAAAAATTCATGTGAACTTCTTTTGATTGTAATTAAATTATTGCAATTTACATAATTTAATTAGCACAAAATTTAATAGCCAAGAAAGTATTATAATAATTTTTTTTTACCTTCTTAACATTGGTTAAGATCCATCTCTTCTTTTTTCTTGAAGCATTATGTTAATTATATTCTTTAGCATAAAGGGAAAATAAATTTCTACTGCTCCAATGCTTTCTCGTTAAAAAATTAACGTCAGGATGGTCCCCCCTTTTTTTCTCGAAGTGCATATAGATAGAAAAGACACGTGCCAAGGACTTGAAGAGCAGATGGTTAAGCTTTGGTTTTTAATGTTGAATTACCGGAAATTCGTCTCACAGTTTTTTTTTAATGTAAGTATAAAAATATTGACAGTTATATCCGATTCAAATGAAGGGAAACTTCTAATTCTTAATCAACGAATTTTTTTTTATTTAAATTTTCTTTCTTTCATTTATTTCTTCTTTTATATTATTTTAGTTTTTTTGTAGATTTTTAATTTTTTAATTTTTTGGTTGCAGTGAAATTATTTTTTACTGTATTTTATTTTTAAGTGTACTAATTTTTTTATTACACAAATTTAAACAAATAATTTTTACGACTGTTTAATAATAAAATTATTTACTTATAAATTTTTGTTTATTTATTTTATTTTTTATTTTCATTTTATAATATTTATTCTTATTTATTATATTATAATAATAGCATTTTACATATATTGATTTTCTAAAAGTCCTCTAATTGATAATTTTAATTGTTATCAATATCTTCTTTATTAATAATAATAATTTAAAATTGTACACGCACGTATTGAAATATAACAGTTACGACTTTTGAATTTAGCGCGCTTGCTGTTATGTTGGCAATATTTACATTTTTAGTTAGATATTCGACCGCATCGGCGCATCGTTTTCCGGTGTAAAACCTTTATGTATTCTTTTCCGGTCGGGTCGCAAAATGACGGGCTTCAGTGAAAAGGTTTGTGTCTTGTTTATTAGAGTTTTTATATATCAAGAGGCGAACATGGGTAAATCAATTATATTTACAATATTCTCTGAACATTCTACTTCAATGTAAAATGTTTTATTTTCTATTTTTTCCATTTTTTTTCGAATAATTGACATTGTCTTGAAAAGCTGTTTGATACACGTGTTCATTTCTTGCTTTATCTATTATTATTTGCTTAAATTGAGTGCTTTCACTTGTTTATTAATGCAATAAACAATTTTCTATGTGTTGGGATTTTAATTTTTATGAAATTTAACTGATAATTGTATGAGAAAATTGTTTTGACAATGCAACTCAACACGTGTATAGTAAATTTTGGGGTTAGGATTTCTATAGGCGTTGATGCTGCGTTAAAGTTCGTTTATAAATTTAGAAGTTAAAATCTCATTGTAGAATTTAATTGATGTTTTTCTTTTAAAAATGTATTATAATTTTTCTCTTTGAATAAAAGAAGTTCTTTTGTATTTTCTATTGAGCCTATTCGTGACTATTGTTAGTTTAATGTTTTTTTTTAATTAATATCAGAGATAATTCTACTAATATTGCAAATTAATCTTTGAATAATGCATAGGAAAAAAGAAGGAAAAATATTTCTGAACGATTTTAATTAATAAACATTTTCTTTTTACAGCCGATTCTTATAGATGGCCGTGGCCATCTTCTTGGAAGATTGGCAGCTATTATTGCCAAGAAAACTCTCGAAGGTAACAGAATTATTGTTGTCCGCAGTGAACAATTGAATATTTCTGGAAACTTTTTCAGGTAAATGAACTTAAATTCTTTAATTTTTATTTTATTGTTTACTCTGTCAAAGTCTGTTAATTATAATTTTTGAACAAAATCCACTATATTAGTAATTATTTTATTGTTTACTTGTAGCAATTACAATTGCAAGCCAGAAGAAAGTTAATTATGAATATGAAATGATTATTATCAATCTTACCTACATTATTTGATGTATCTTGAAACGAAAGCTTTTTTATGAGAATTTTAAATTAAATTTGACAATTTTTTAACGTCTTTTAGGTGTATGCTAATTTTTTTACTCTTATTTTTCAGAAACAAGCTGAAGTTTATGTCATTCCTGCGTAAAAGATGTAATGTCAATCCAGCTCGTGGACCATTCCACTTCCGCGCTCCCAGCAAAATTTTGTGGAAAACAGTCCGTGGTGAGTAAACTAAAACTAAATAAAAAATTCTATTCTCAAAACGCTATAATTGCATATGATTACATATATTCTTACCTACATTATTTGACAGTAATGTGAAAATAACAATTTTGAATGAAGCTTAATGATTAATTGTCATAATACGTCAATGTTTAAAAACTCGATAATCAGATTTAAATTTTTAACAGGAATGGTTCCTCACAAAACGCAAAGAGGAAAGGATGCGTTGAGAAGACTAAAAGTCTACGAAGGGTGTCCTCCACCTTACGACAGAAGGAAACGTGTTGTCGTTCCTGGTGCGATGAGAGTTATGTGCTTGAAACCAGGAAGGAAGGTAATACATTTCTCTTGGCAATAATTATTCGATTATTAATTAAATTATTTTCAAAATTTGCTTCGAATAATATTATTGATTATAACTAACTTGTTGACTTTTCTTTACAGTACTGTCACGTTGGAAGACTTTCTCACGAAGTCGGTTGGAAGTACAAGTCTGTTGTACGTACTCTCGAAAACAAGAGGCGCGTCAGGTCTATTGTTGAAGTTAAAAAGAGGGATAAACTAAAGGTAATTTCTGCACCAATATATTTCTTTTGTCTAAATTATTTCTTATCACGGATTTGGAATTCTTTTTATCTTTCTCTAATTTTTGTAAATTTACACTATAAACATTAAAGTCGTTTTCTTTTGAAATTTTATTTAATGAAAGAATAATAGTATCTTTTTGACAAATAGTTACTTTTTGTAGAAATACTTTTATATAAAACTAATGCTTATTAGTTTTGTTTATTATTAGTATATTTAGTTATTAGTATTATTTATTTCTCTAATTTTCGAATAATAATTAAAAGAAAGAATTCTAAATCCGGGAAATATAAATCTAATTTTAATTACTCAATGATGGTTATGGTAATTTGCGACTGAGCAAAAGATATAGACTTTTGCATTGCTGTCAGTTTTTTGCTGAGAATATTAATCAAAATTTTAGAATTAAAAAAATTTTCAATTTGAACAATATGTTAAAATTTCTTTTTTGTTCTGTTACAGAAACTGACGAAGCAAGCTGGAGAGAAAGTCGCACCGCAAGTTGCACCCTATACTAAGATTATCAACAGTTTTGGATATAATTAAGACATTACGAGGTTAATAAAGCCTTTAAAAACAATTTCTGTTTTTTATATAAAAGTACAAATTGCGAAGTGAGTTTTCCCTTTTTTCTCTCATTAAATTATAGAAAAAAAATTTTATTTATCAAAGTAAGGAAAATTTTAAAAACTCGTAAATACAATAGAAAAATAGTTTATTAAGAACTAATTTAAGTTACAAGAGCTATTTTATTGAACATATTCTTTTAGTATATTTTTATAAAATATTCTTTTAGTGTATTTTTTAAATTATTCTTTTACTATAGTTTATAGACTATTCTTTAAATATAATTTTAGATCTTTTTAAATTTAAACATTCGTAGATCTTTTTAAGACATTTAAAAAATAAATTAATCGTAATTATGAACAGAGATGGCAACAGTTCGATCTTTATCGATAGCTTCTTCGTCGTAAACTTCTTCATCTTCGTCTGCAGATTCCGCTGATGATTCAGAATCCGAATTTGCTTTTGTTCGATAATTTTCCAAATTAATTGTTGGCATAGATCCAATGTTGTGAATTTTGAACTTTTCGGCAAGACGTTTGGCCGCATGCTCTAGTTGAATTACCTGCAGAAAAAAATTATTCAATTTTTAATATTTTTAAACTAAAATTCATAAAAATTACATAATATTTAGGATTTAAAACTAATAAAAACTTACGCTTAGTTTTTCTGCTTGTTCCTTTTGCAATTGCATAGATTCATTAATAGTTATACACTTGACAGCTCCGTGAATAATATGAGGTGGTGTAGCTGCTGTTACCTCCCAATGTTTACCTTTCTTTCGAGCCTTTTCCTTCATAGGATCGTGTACATTTGACCTTGTTGTTTTATAAGGCATAAATTTTTCTTTTGATTTTTCATTATTGGGATTTTCAACAATATTAACAATACGCTTCACGTGCTCCAAATCCAATGAGTTACTTGAATTAAAGTTTTCGATTCTTTCCAAGTCTTCGGGTTTTATTAAACTCTCTTCCTTTGGTATGTGAATAATTTTCTTTTTATGAACACCAGTTCCTGTTGGCTTTAAATTAAAATAGAACTTTTTAATTGCTTTACATTTAATCAAATTTTAAAGAATCAATTTAGTTTGTATTTTTTTAATGGTAAAGAGAAAATTCGCGTTTATTATAAATATAACAAACCTGAGCTAAAATTTGAATAGGATCCTCATCATCATCACTGTCTAATTCGACAATTTTTTCTTCAGTATCTGCTTCAGAATACTTTCCCGTCCATTCTAATTGATTCATTGCTGATTTTCCATCCTTAACTATATTTAATTTTGAAAGAAGACGAGCTGCATTGTCAATTTCATTGCGATGATCAAGTTCTTTTATGATTTTTTCCTTAAACGCTTTTAGCTTTTCACCTTTATCAACGAGTTTGGATATAACGAATCTACAGAAAAAATAGCACAAACTTTAATGAAAGAGAAAGAAATATAAATTTAATTAGAATTTTAATGAAAGAGAAAAAAATATAAGTTAAATAAGAAATTTTTTCTCACTTGTTAGAAAGTAATTTGTCTTGTCTTTCCAAGAGATCATTTAATTCGAATGTTCTAAGTTTTCCTAAATCTGCAATAAACCCTTGACTTTCCTTTTTTGATACTGGAGGTAATTCCAATGAATTAGAATTAACAGACATATTCGAATCAGTGTTTACTTCCATGGACATTGTTGACGACAGTATTGATTATGTTCCATATCTTGTCATAATATGAAAAAGAAATTAAATATTATACATTTAATTAGCCATTTTTATTAATACTAAATAGACGAAATTGTATAAAAAATTAAATATTTACAAATAATTAGTTATAGTCGAAATATTTATAGGTTATGTTTACAAATTAACGCGTGATATCAAATCAATTTTATTTTATGAACAGTTTTTAAGCTCTTCAGACACTGAATCTTTACATTCCCACAAAAATTAATTACTTAATTTAAAACACTCAATATTTTATTTAAAAAAACGTTTATAATTTTTCGTTTTATAATAGCTTTTATTTTTGTTCACTGACAGGTGTTTAGTTCCAGACTTTTCTATAATCATAAATGGCGCCACTGTAGAATGACTAATCCGAACATTTTATTAGTTGTTTTCAAATTTACGCGCGCATAAATAGCCAATGAGCGCGATCGTCTTGAGAACGCGGCTTAATAATTTCTCAATACCTGTAGCGCCATGGCGGACAAATCAGAAACTACTGAACCGAAAGTTCTCGAGAATATTCTCCTCTCGCGAAACATTCCCCGTTCACCGTTTGAAAGTTGAACAGTATTGTCACATTATAGTGTTTTTAAAATGTTTTTTTGAAATATTTGCAGTGTTTGATTAGTGGTTTTGAGTTAATTTAGAGTTAAAACAGTTTATAGTTTATTGTAAAATCGCGAGTGAAATGTTTCGTCTAAATTATCACCGACTCTTCATCGTATGTCTCAAGATAGGCACGACAACCACCTGTTAAACATGGTTAGTGTTTTTTTCTTATATTTTTCTAATAATTTTCAGTTAAGTCGTGAATTCGGGTTAGAATTTTCAAGTATTAGTGTCATTTAAGTATAGTGTTCGAGATTTTACAGTAACTTTTATATATTTTGTGGCAAAATTGTGTTATGCCGGTTGCGCGTTTTAGCGGCAAAACATTTTTGAGGTTATGTTGATATTGTGTTCATTTTGTTATGATAAAAGAAACGTTTTTTAAAACATTATAATATAAAAGTTAGTGAGGTTATGTAGTCTTTTTTATTTTACAATTTATATTATTTACATCTCAGGTACAAAATGAAATCGTCATTTGTGCAAAGAAATTTTTCTGTAACAATGACACAGTTTGCGGGCATTTACAGTTTTTTTTTTAATTTAACAAATCCGTCAATTGAAATATATTATTTTATAGATTATATTATTTTCTATATCCTTCAGGGTATTATAATTTATAAAAATTGTATCTATCTTATTATTACTGTACGTAATAATTATCTATTCCATATTTTCAAGACTATAAATGCATATAGGATTGTTTGTAATTGGATGTATAGTATTGTGAATTCCGAATCCTATTTGTTGTTTTAAAAATTCCACAGTTTTTCTAACTAGATATCGATTATTTTCATGAACTACGGGATTATTTAGAAAATCATCTACCTGAAAATTAGAAAATTTGTTTATTCTTCATTAGTATTTTTTCTATAACTAAAAAATGAATGCAATGATAATAATTTTGAGCAAAATAGACAAAATTTTTATACCTTCATCCAGGTACACTCGGAAATTTCTCTTTCACATTTTTTTATGTCAAATGTCATTGGTGTTAAATAAGCAATCATATAAATATCGGAACAATCAAATGCACATTGATGTGCATGTCTAAATGCAATGAGGCATTTAAATTTTGCCGTAACACCTGTTTCTTCTAGAACTTCTCTTTCTGCAGCAACGTTTATATTTTCACCTGAAAATAAATTTACATCTTTTTTTGTTCAAACATTTTTACATTCTCATCACATGAGAAGGTATTATTTTTTATATTTTGAAGCTAAACCTGGTTCTACATATCCTCCGGGTAATTTCCACATTGGCTTTTTTATATATTTTTCTTTAATAACGAGAATTTCGTTTTTGCTTTCATTATAAACGAATCCTCCAATTCCAAGATTTGTATGAGCATAGGGTGGAATATTTGATTCTTGATCAACAGGAAGCCATCGATATAGTGTTACATAATCGTCCTTTGCATTGTGGAATTTAAATCCTTCTTGCGCCAAAATTGGCACCCATTCTGCTTGCGCCAAATTCACACGAAACCAAATTGTGCGCCTTTTTTCCTCCAACCATTTATTCAGTGATGCTGTAAATTTATTCAGATAAAAATTATATTATTATTAATTATTGAAATTTATTAGTATTATTATTATTGATTATTATAGATTATATTATCACTATTATTATATTGTTTCTGATATTAGGGATCATTTTACTTTACATTTATAAGTGTTTAATTTTTTCTCATACCATTATTATAAATTCAATAATTATATAATTATAAAACGAGGATAAAAGTTATTGAGATAAAGATAAAAGTTATTCTTTTTTGAATTTAGTTGTCGAAACAGTGCGCAAGCTTACCTTTAGAAGCCTGCGCATTGTAACACTTGTTGTAAACAGTCCAAGAGTGTGACGTACGAAAGTGTACATTAAAGAAAAAAAAATATTATTTTTTTCTAATAGTTTATTAAAATAATGATTTACCTTTAAGACGGTTTGAAAAATTCTCGCCATTACATGATTCTTTTGCTGAATCAACTATTATTCCATTGTAACGATCCAATTGACCTTCAAAATATTCCTTATCCATGATATTTGAATAGAACCTTAAATTTTTTACAAAAATTGTTTGCTGAACAATTCCACTTAATGCTGAACGAATTGGAGTTATTATTTTAAACATGGAATTCACTCTCAATTGGAGTATCACGAAAAGAACACTTCATAAACGAAAAAAAGGAAGAATATTAAACTTTAATCATTCATTGTTAATAATACAATAACATTCAACCAAGTTCACAATAATGCAATCATTATCAATCGCTCTTCAGACTCTTACTGCGGCGTTAAAATTCTTTACGTAACGCTATCGAGTTTATCCATAATTGCTTATATATAAATTTTCAAGAATTATTTACCACTTTTTTTTATTAACTTATTACGTTCTTCTTAAATTAAAATTTATTTCAAAATAGATATGTAAAGAAGTCTTTCTTTATGACAAAAAAAAATTCTAATGTTTCATATAAGAAACTGAGGAGTTGTAAGAGTATACTTTTATAGGATAATGAATGCCACATATTTTTTATTTATTATATACCTAATATATTTATTTATTTGCAATTTTTTAAATCATTTTCTCATTAGATATTTATATTTTTTATTATATTATATCCTTATCAAAATAAGAAAATATTTTTTTAACGAATGAAGTATTATATTTCATTTTTGATGTTTTTAAAAACCTTTTCTTGTTATTAGTTCATCTTGTATTCGCTCATTTTATATTCATTTCTACATTTTATGTCAGTTAACAATATTTACAGTATTTATATATACATTTATTACATTCGCATAATAAATGAATGAATGAATGAATAACAATGAAATTTTAGAGAATAAACTTGCAGGAAACCAAGCACATATAATTTAAATAAACAGCGAAATTATTTCAACTTATGGCCTTTAAATAAATTGAAAATCATTTAAAATTCATTACAGTCTCCCCCAATACATTAATGAAATCAATAAAATTGTTTATTTAAAAAAAAATTTTGGAATTTTTCAATTCCCCCTTACGGTTCAAATTTTAATTTGACTTCTTAAAATGAAATTTAGAACGAAGGAAGCCCTCTGAAAATGTAGTATTCTGATAAATATTCCCTAATTTTTTAACGTTCAAATGGTGTGAAATATTTTCAAAAATTATTATTGAATGGAATAGAAAAGAAAAAAATAGAAATTTTTAGTTTTATATAAATTAAATTTTAATACGTGACTCAATATTATTATGAATTAATTATTATTTGAAAAATAACAATAAATTAATTAGATATTAATGGTATTATATAGAAAATTCTAGTGATAAATATTACAGTCTTTTGTTTTACTCCAAAAATGTTCAATATTATCGTAAACTTTTCTATTCATTGAATTATAGTGAAGTGCCTCACATGCTCGGCAATAATGTTTTGAAGCACTTCCAAAGTAACCGTGTTCATTAATTACTTGATATTCCGTTCGCCACTTATGATACTTACCATAACTACCATGTTCATTCAAATTCATTAAATAATTAGCCAATGCTAATGGACTAGAAAATTGATTAACATGTATAAATGAATTTGGTGGTAATAATTTTTCGCAATCATCGTAAGGTGCACCCATAATAACTGGAATTGCAAATTTTTCATAAGCATTCCAAAATACTTTCTCAGTTAAATATTGACGGCAATTTGAATTTTCAAATGATAGGTAAAATTTATAATTTTCCAATAAATCGCAATTCTTGCGAAAATGACTGGGACACGCTGTTCGATTACCATTTAAACATTTACCAATAATATCGAGATTATTGCCGAGTACTTTTTTTAATTCACGAACATAATTCATTCGATTATTGAGACTAGCACAATTACTGAACATTATTCCGAGAAGTTTCTTTTTCTTCTCTAATTTTTTATGCAGTAATGATTGATCTTTGAATGGGGTTGATAATTTCACTGTTCTTCCATATGGTACGGGAATATCACTATCCATATGATAAGTCATCGACCAATTAAAAAGTTTATTATAGTTGGATAATTCTTGTGGTCTGTGAAGAAATGTATGAAGCGGTGATTCGTCAGTTAGAAAAATCCATCTTTGGTTGTAATTTCTTCTCACTGGTAACTCATTTCGATTTTTAATACGATGAATATGAAATATCACAGCATCTGCACGTTCAATGTCATTTGAATTATATGACAGTAGACATTGAACTGAACAATTTTCCCAAGGTGAATGTCTAAGAAAAAAGAAATTAAAGATTTTTTTTATTAAGGAAACAAGATTTGTTGAAATTGGGATAAAAAAATGAATTAATGTTGTTTGGAAATTTACTTTTCTGTTGTAAATCGTTTAAGGTGTCGATTTTCTAAGAAGGGTCCATATTTCCATATTAAAATTAGATAAGGTTTGTTCTTTTTATTTGAATTTTGGGGAGGATTTACATCGGATGAGATTAACCATCTGCCTAATGCAGACATTTTTTCCATCTGCAAAAAGTAATTTCATTTCATTATAAAAAAAACGCAGGATTTATTAAAATTCTAAGGATTAATTATTGATATTAAAAAAGTCCCTTTTCACTCTATTTTTCAATATTTATACAAAGGATTTATCTAGAATCCCTTTTACTTGATATTAAAATTATTGGACATTTTTATTAATTATAAATATACCATTTTTTTATTAATAATCAAACAACTCAAAGAATGAAAATAAATCAAACAAATTTTTTAATTAACGTTTTTATATTTTATTCAAGTCAATAATGTTTTTAAAATTTCATAGGTATTGGAAAAATATTTTGTTCGAACGTTAAAAATTTGTATAAAGAATTAATTAAAATTACACAACTGAAACAATAATTAGAATGAAATTTTTAGTTTATATACCTATAATTTCTAAACATATCTACTTCTTTTAGTAATTTATTTGTAGACTATTCAAATCAAATTTCAGTACGAAAAATCTTTTGTTTTTAAATAATAACAAGATTTTACTGAAAGCTTCTTAATTTAAAAAAAAATTTTTATTTAAATTTGAAATATTAAATTTTGATTATAATAACAGATTAATTAAATTTTACTTTTATGCTTAAATAAATTATAAAAAATTAATAGTAACTATAAATGAAGTATAATAATTAATTAATTACTATTATAAATGTAATATACAAATAATGAAAAAATAACCCCATTCCTGATTTCGAAAAATTTTTTAGAAAAATCTGAATATTTTCTTTGTTGTTATAATCTCAAGCTTGATAAGAATTATTAATAAATCAATTAATTCTACAAGAGAAAAAAAGATTCACAAATTAAAATTTTTATAATATAAATTCAATTTTTTACTCACCTCTTTTTCAGTAAATTTTTCGGTTATTTCCAAATTAGTTGGAACTTTTTTTTTATCATAAAAATCAAGCAATGAACTTTGGTTGATGTTTCTTTGTATTATTTTTAAAAAAACTATTAATATGTAAGTTGCAATAAAAATTCCAAAAACGATTTTAAAAAATTTGACATGTCTTTTAAACATTTTTCTTTCTTTAATTTTTCGAATTTTAGTTTAGATTCCAAGAAATAGTAAAAACGATTCTTCTTTTTTTTATAAACACTTTTGATAGTAATAATTTGGAAAATGATATAAAATAAATTTTAAGAGCATTTTATTTATTTACAACTTTTCACAAATTTTAACTCGTCTAAATTTCACTGATATTCTTTTTTTTCACAGTAGAAACTATAAAATAAACTCCGAATTGGTCAGTTTAGAACAGAACCGTGTTAAGTTGAAAAGAGTAGTAAATTTTAGATAATTCTAAAAGTGATAATTATCCAGAAAATAGAATTAAATTGTCCTTACTCAGAATGTTTGATTGTTTTCGATTTTTTTATTAGAAATACTAGTGAAATTTCTTCTATTATCTTTCAATTTGTATTCTTTATCTTTGCAGATAATTTTTGATAATTTCGACGAAGATATTTAAAATTTACTTAACTTCAGTTTAATTTATTAACTGTTTTTCTCGTTTGAAGTTTGAAAACAATTCCAAATATTTTTTTTGTAAAGAATCAAATTTTTTTTTTCAATTTATACTGAACGATATTTATTTTATTAAAATGATTGATTACTTGACTAATGTTATGGAAGAAATGTTTATTTATGAACAGAGTAATTTTGAAATTAAATTATTAAAACAAAATAAATAGTATTTGAAACAATTTTTGTAGTTTTAGATGAAACTATTTGAGTCGTAAATAAAAATTATTTATTTCATTTTAAGTTTAAATATAATGAATAAATAGATTACAACTAGTATCACAAAAATGAAAAGTGTTATGATTAGAAAGCAGCCGTTCGCGTTAAACTAAGAGTTGTATATTCCTGCATCAGTTTATACAATATTGTTAAGCATGTACCGCACTGTCTCTCAATTTACGAGAAGTTAATGATTGGAGGTAAGAAAAATAGAACTCGAAGGAAAGGCAATACACAGTAACAAAGTATAAACAGTATAGTTGGTCCCGATTTTCTTGGCTAGCCAAGCGTTAACTAAAACAACTTCTCTAACTTTAAAATAAAAAAAAAAATTTCGAAAATATTTTTTTTTGTAAATAATTTTTTTATGGCTTCCTAGGGTTTCCTTTAATGAACTTACATCAACGGTGACAATCGTTTTTATAAAATCGTAATTCCTTCTCAATCTCGGTCATTTAGACACAGAGAACCGAAATTTGGTACACCATTTTTTTCGGCTATATTATTTATTTTAACATTAAAAGTTAAATCTATTGAATTTGTCTTAGAAACCTATATAATAATCATTGTGTCACACTTTTCCTAGAACAGAATTTCTATATTAATAAAAATCATAAAAAAAGTCAGATAAAAAATAAATCCAATTATTATTTTTTTAGTATATATATACTCTATATTTACTCTGTAAATTGAAATTGTTTTATTGACATTTTACAATGTTTCATTATTACGGAAATGAACATTCTTGTAAATTGAAATTGTTAATTATTGTTATAAAAACCACTACCGACGGATATAATGAAAAATATATTCTCATTTTATTGACATTTTACAAAGTTTCATTATTTCGGAAATGAACTTTCTTGCTTTCAAATTTAGACAATTTTCATCACTTTATGAAAAATTTATAAATTTAAATATTTCCTCATCATGAACATCAAATTCTTAAAGAGATAAGGAAGCTTCTATCCAAAGTTATAAAAAAGATTATAAAGTTGTAAATTAAAATCAAATAAATTTTAACTGACACAAATACAAATGAGAACTTTGATACGAAATCCATTTGGAAGTTTCAAAAAGTGCATTTATAATCTAAAGTTTGTTTCATTAATCTCGCAACAGTTGTATTTGACTTTGTAAAGCATTGAAAAAAAATAATTACAATATTTCAAAGGGACGCAGAAAGGTGCGGCTTGCATTTACATTGTTAAAATACTATCAACATCGAATTTTAATATAAACGTTATTTAATATAACTGCAATAATTTTAATTTCAATTTTGAGTAAATTATTATTAAATAGAAGTAGTATTGAAATTAATCCTGAAGTGAGTTATTATTTTAATTTAACCGAATTTTCAGAAATGTGAGATTTTTCTCGTAAAATAATAGTAAAAGCATATAATATGAAGTTGAAAAAATTTGGAATAGTTGAAACTTTAGAAAGAGAGTAATATAAAAGAAATTTGATACAAATAAATTATTTTTAAAAAGAGTAGTCACATATAAGATTTTCTGCTTGTTTTACTTTTTGTTAAAATTTACATTTCACGAAAATAATTCATAACAGAATTATTATGCCGTCAAAATAAAAAAAAGAAATTTTGTTTAAAGTTTTATTTTATTAATTACAAAAATAATATTTTATACACTTTAGAAATTGTTTGTCAAAAATCGAATTTGTAGCCATTTCCGTTGACTTTAACACGAGAAACGGAAGGAGCAACAGAATAAGCGACTCCTAATAAATTTTGTATCGGTAGCTCTTGTTGTTGTTGTAGTTGAATTTGTTCTGGAATCTGTGATATCAAATAAGATTTTTAGATAGAATTTTAATAATGTGTAGTCATTTAGCGTTTAATTGAACAGTTTGATAAATTAATTATTAATTATATTTTACATATACGGAATTTAATAAGTCCGCTCTAATTAGAGTTTAACTTAAATAGCATACTGAGAAAATATATAAATATTTGTGAAATTTAATAAAGTTATATTAGAAGTTAATTAATATTTTTGATATAATTATAATATATTTCACATAAGTTTTTTTTTTAAAGTTTTGTTTTTTTGTTTTGGAGCAAGAATAATATTTACCTGAAGATGAGTCTGCAACTGTGGGTGTTTAAAGGACAAATCTTTGAGAAGTTGAGCTTGATAGATATTAGAGTCAAGTTGAACATTTCCTTGAAATGGAAATTGTTGTTGTGCTTGTTGTAGGTAGCCGATAAGAGCTGGATTTTGTGCAAATTGATAAGGAAATTGTGGAGGTTGTACAGGAGCAACACTTTCTCCGGAATAGATAGAAGAAGCTGTTAAGATAGAAGCATTTGATAAATATAAATAAATTGGGTTTCGAATTACTTTGTTTTACTATATTTCATTACAGTCAAGTGTGACTACTCTAATTTTCGAGAGTATGAAATATAAAAAAGCCACATATTTGGAAATTAAAAATATTTAAATTATCGTTTTAATTTAATAAAATAGTAGAGGTGTGCAAAAAGCTCGAATAGCATGGTCGAGCTCGATGGTCGAGTTTTAGTTACTCAAAAATATTTGAGTGCTCGAAAAATTCAAGTGCTAAAAATTATTTTAGGTTTAATACTGCACGTGTCGGATGGAATTTGGTTCAAGTTCGGATTGATTCTGCTCAGCTCTGCTAGAAAAACGAAAAGCTTGAAATACTCGATCGAGCTTTTTGCACAACTCTATAAAATAGTCACCTAAACCAGGATTATTATATCTAAGTGCTTGAGCAACATTTGGTTGAACTTTATGAATTAAATGGGGGTTTCCCACACTTGAACTGAATGTTTGATGAGAGCTTGGTCCATGGAAGCTGAATGAAGTTTGCGTTAATCCTGGACGAATGAAACTAAAAGAAGCATGTTGTTCAGAACCACCTAAAATGTTGGTTGGCTTAATTCCCTTTGATGAAGTTTGTCCTGATATTATGGTCAATAGGAAACAACTTGTCAGGATATGTATCTGTGAATATTAAAATTACAATTTATAAATTAACATTCAATGAGAAAAAAATGTTTTTAATTCAAAAATAAGTAGCCAACCAAAAAAATATTAAATATGTTTGAATGAAACATATTTTACAATTGAATTAAGCATAATTTTTATTGAATCAAACTTATTATAATTAAAAATAATTTTTTGATTATTATTAATAATATTATTTAATATTTTCCACACAAAAAATATTAAAAACTATCTATATTAATAAATGTTTCTGTTTAAAACAGTTGATATAGTAAAATTTCCGTTTTCACTCGAAAAAATCTAAAAATTTCCATAGAAATAAACTTTTTTCTTCACAATAACGAAAATTTTTCACAAACAAAGCGTAATAATATCGTGAAAATATTTTGCTTATTAAATATCACTTTTTACAGGGCTTGAACTAGGTCCGTAAATCCCGTAAAGGACCGTAAATATACTTTAAGTTTCTTAAAAGTTATATAATTTTATTTTCTAATATACATTTAATTGAAGAATTTACGAATAATCGAAATTTCGTAAAATTGATTTATTTATATAGATATATAAAGATAGATATTTGAAATTGAATTTTAAACAAATTGATTGAAAGAAGAATTTTAGTTAAAAATTCTATATGTTTCTACATATTGAAAAAGATGAAAGATTTACATGTTTCTCTGATAGATTGAAAATTACAATTTCCAACTCTATAAAGTTGGATATTTTCTATTTTTCGAGATATTAACTATTTTTTTTTATTCTCTTATATATTTCTATTATTTTCAATTTCATTTAGATTTGAATTACGATATTGAATTGTATTCGCAATCACTCACCAACATCTCTCTTTTTCTCGGTATGTAAATTAAATATAGGGAAAAGAAAAAGGGGAAAAAAATATAATCACAATTAAATCGATTATACACTGATCAAAATCAGAACTGTATTTCAAGTTTGAAATCTCGCCCAGGAGTTATATATACTACGGAAGCGTATTCCAAAACGTGACCAGAGTATTTTTAGGTCGAAAAAATTTTTTACTTTCCATTTGACATAGTAATTAAAAAAGTTCCATCCAGACATTGTAAAGCAAATATTTTCATTTTATTCATTATTACCAGCGAAGTTACACTAGAGTTCTATACAAAATTTTGTATCAGAATAATATTACTAATAACAAGTTTAATAATAAAAATAATTATGAATATTAATAATAACACCATAAACATAATTTTTTTAAAATTCATATTTTTATTAACTTTTTAAAATTAAAATTAATTTCCTTGTATTTTTATTTTTTTATTGCTTAGAATAGAGTGGGGTGAAAAAGTCATTTGGGTTTTATACAAATACTATGTGAAATCAATTTATCAGCTAATTAAAAGTGGTGATAATAAATGAAGAGAGAAATTTGAATGCATAAGTTATCAAGTGTAGCTGATTCGAATTAAACGTTTGTTTCAAATTTATTATTCAACTTTCAATTGTAATTCTAACTATAAAGGGAAAGTGACATACTTACACAGAGAAAAATGAATTACACAATATTAGGTTTAAAATTGTTTAATAAACCGAATTCAAGATTAAATTGCTCTTTTTAAGGAAAAAGTTTTTAAACCGAAAGGAAATTAATGAAGGTTATAATTAAAATGCTACTGAAATATTAAATTTTCTTCTGCACACAGAAATTTATTTTTTTATTATTACATTTATCAACAACTATATTTTATATTCTTTTAATAATTCTTTTTAACAAAAAAGTACAGTACATTCTATAACATACATTTTTATTTAATTCCAGTCCAATAATTTCGACTTTCACATTTAATTGTATTTTAAATTTAAAATAGGATTAAATTTAAATTTAAAAAATATGTTTTTCTTATGAAGAAATTTTCAATTGTTTAATACTATGAATCAAATTTTAACGTCCACTTATTAGAATTTAGATATATTCAATTTATTATTTTCCTACAATTGTTTAAATTTTGAAAAATGATTTTTAATATTTAATTTAATTTTAGCGCATAAGATTGAGATTATGCAAGCGATACAGTTAGTGTGCTTTAAACTAGCTTATAACTTATTAGTAAATACAAATAACACGCGCATAACAACATTATGGACCAATTCTATGCAAATGTCAACTTATAGGTTTAACATGTTACATAACATTATAAGCTGACTAATAGTAAAATTTTACTAATGTTTTATGAAGAATTTCACTAATTAAAAGTCACTTATTTCACACCGAAAAAAAATGTTTTCAATTTTAGACAATTCCACTTTTTTTGCAGCATTTTTTCCTTTTACATATTATGGGCACTAAATTTTTCAAAAGGATTTTCCTCTTTTATATTTTCTTTTAAATGTCACTTTTTAAACAGTTTAAAGCTGCGTTCAGAAAAACAAAAAACAACTTAAAAATCTTCTTTCTAACATAAATTTGCTTCAATTTGAGAGGAATAATTTCAATCAAAGAAGAAAGATTAAAATTCATCTTTTAGTTAAAAAACTTTCAAATATAAACAAAAATTTTTTTTTCGTAGATGAATATTCATATATTGAAAATAAAATGTAAAAATAATAATTGTTAAGTGGAATTTTCTTTTCACTATGAGATTTTATTTTTTTCGGTGCATTAAATGAATATTAGTGAAACTGTTTTAAATTGACTATTAATAAAACAGTTCTACCAATTGTTAGTAGAATTCTACTAAGCAATTAGTAAAGTAAAATAAATTTAAATAAATAGTAAATAAATTTCACAATTTATAATAAAATTATTATACTAAATCATTTGGTGGACGACTTTTCGTCATTTCAGATTTATAAAGTTGAGTTAGTGACCGACTTTTTATTTTTGAATTAGTAAATTTGACTAATAAGTAGTAATTTCTACTAATTTATAATCTATTAATTTATTAGTAATATTTACTAATTCAAATTTAGAGAGTTAGAGAATTTAGAGATAAACAGTAATTTCAACTAATATATCTTAGTAAAATTTACTAATTGTTTCTTTAATTAATTTTTTTCAGGTTCAATATTTCATTATTGGGTGAAGAAATATAATCTCAATCAATTATGCAAGTCAGCTATATATATAAAAACTACATAAGTGGTAAGTTTTTTCAATTTTTTCTTATTTTTTACATATAAAAAATATCGTTAATTTTCATTTGTCAAGAATTTGATTATGTGATTTATTTTTACAAATTAAATTATCAATATAAATATATTTTTATAAAAGAACATTTTATTATTTTAAATATAAATACTTCATTGCAAAGACTCAGTTAATTTAAAGCGTAAAATAAAAGTTTGTTTTTGGAGTGTGTATTTAGATTTACTTCATTCAAACGGTTTTTGAAATCCGATTATGTTATGTATTTAGATTTAAACATCAGTCTATAATCACGGTTGACACAGGTCAAACAATTCAAATTTAAATTCAAATTTAAAAATTTGTTGATAAAATTCTTTATGAGAATTTACTTTTTCGAAGCATTCAATTATTCAATAAATTATTATTTATTTTTGTATTTATATAAATAATTGAATTCCCGTAGAATTTTGTAATAAAAAATTGATATAAAATGAATTTTAGTTAATATAGAAGATAATATTTGAATATTAAAAGCATTATAGCGTGAATTTTTAGAAATAATTGAATTTTGAAAGGGTTTCAAATTAAAAGCTTTGAAAATTTGAATTTTTCATATTTTTAACTACCAATTCTGTAAAATTAATTTTTTTTGAAAAAGTTTAATTGAAATTTTTTTTTGAAATTAATTCAAGTTTTTATTTTCTAATATATATTTCACTGAAGAATTTCCGAATAAAATTAAATATTTAGTAAACTTGAATTGTAAACAAATGGATTCGAAAATTCCAAAGAACTTTTTCAAAAATTGTTAAAAACAATAATTTATTTAAAGATGAATTTTAGTTAAAAATTCTAAAAAATAATAATAAAATTGTTTATATTGTGGCCTTGGGTCCAAACAATTTTATTTGACAAAAATTTAGGTCCTGAAAACATTCTACGTTAAAAAATAATAATTGAATTTTGAAAAGGTTTCAAACTAAAAGCTTTGAAAATTTGATTTTTTCACCAATTGTGTAGAATTAACTTTTTTGAAAAAGTTTAATTGAATTTTTTTTAAGTTATTTCAAGTTTTTATTTTCTATAATATATATTTTATTGAAGAATTTCCGAATAATAATCAATGAAATTTTATAAACTTGAATTGTAAACAAATAGATTTGAAAATTTTTAAAGAATTTTTTCAAAAATTGTTAAAAATAATTGATTTAAAGATAAATTTTAGTTAAAAATTTATTGTAAAAAATAATAATTGAATTGAAATGATGATGAAAATAATTTTGAACAAGTTACAGTAGCAATATTCTTATAATATAAAATAATGATTTTATCACTAAATTAATATTCTTATAAGTCATTGAATTTCAAAAGGTTTGAAAATTAAAAAAAAATCTAATCATTTTTAGAGTGAATCAGAATATTCTTTAGGGCCAGGGAAAAAGTGATAATTTTGTCTGGAAATCAGTGAAAAAGAAAATTAAATTTTTGTAGCAACCATGATAATTAAATTAAATTTTAACAATATATTTTAATAAAAATAGACTGAATTTAAAAATTTTGTTTGTAATTTAAAAGTTATAAACAATATTTATTATTTTTTTTGTAATTTTTGCTTTTGTTTGACCGTATTAATTAATTTTTTGAGTAATGAGAAGGCCTAGATACGGTAAACTATAAATTATAAACTATGTCCGACGCTTGGATAATAATATGTTTATAAAATTATTCATCCCCTGATGAGGAACTATATACAGTTCGAAACTAGTTGGGATTTTAATAAATTTCATTAAAAAAAACAAACCGTATCTAGGCCTTCTCATTACTCAACAAATCAAAATATTTATTATTATGTATATGAGTTTAAAAATCCTAGTATGCCGAGAATAGTCGTAATTTATGCGACTGAAATCTGGGTCCTTGGTGAGCTTCCTCTTCGACATCCTGCACGACCAATAGTGTCGTGACTATTACTTCCTGTAATGTTCGTTATTCGGCATTGATTCGCTTGATCTACTGTCTCTAATTCATTTAGTTGGGGAATTCTGTTATCACCATTATCTGTTGAATAGCAACAATGAGAACGGCAATAGTTGCGTAGACTCTCCCTCTTTTTCCTATAAATATAAATTTTATTCAACTAAACTTAAGTATATAAATAATTGTTGTTAAATTAAAATTTTACAAGCAATAAGTTTTCTTATCAACCTTTGAGAATGTTTAATTATTTTCTTTGACTTTTATCTTTCATTAAATTTGAAGTTTTGCGCCACATACACTATAAGTCGCAAATAAACTAAAACAATTTTTTCTTAATTATTTCAATTTGTTTAATTTTTCTATTTTTTTGTAAAATGATAATTTTAGTTCTAATTTTAAAATTAGATTTTTAATTGATTGCTTTTTTCATAATATTTTATAGTACTTATGACAAGTATTCCCATGCCTATCGTATGTCTTTTAAATTATTAATTTATCACAGAGCCTTTTAAGGCTTATTTATAAGAACAAATTTCAGTAAATTATTACTTCACTAGAGCCTAAATGAGGCATGCACTTAAGAAAAAGAGTATAATATAATTTTAATTTGAAGAGGAAGTAAATAAATTTCGTTATCAGTTAGAATATATTTTTTAGGAATTTCGCAGCAAATTTGATTGTAAAATTTGGAAACTTACACATCAAGTTTACAGCAAATTTTATACTTACAGTAGAATCCCGCTTATCCGAGGTAATGTGGGGAAGGGGCACCTCGGATAAGCGAAAACTCGGATAACACGGATGAAATAAAGAATTTGAAAATTTTAATAATTTTTTATGTATTTTGAATGGAAGAATGAAATATGCACACAAAACTCGCAACCGTAGGGCATACAAATCGTGTTATAACAAGTTTATGTGTTCATAAGCCACGGCACTTTCCGCGCATTATCCGAGCTGCACCTCGGATAATGCGGATTGGTCAGAGCGCAACGGGTGCCTCGGATAACCCGGAAGGTCGGATAAGCGGGATTCTACTGTATGTATAAAAGTTTTCCCCCTTTGTAAATTTGATACAAATATGTAATTTTAAATTCCAGATGAGAAAATTTTTGCTCAATTGAACTCAACTAAACTATTTTCTGTTTATCAGTGTTTATACCAAAGTGACATTAATCACGGCAAAAGCTAATATCGCATTGTGGTATACATACATTCTCATAAAATACATTATTCATCGAATTTGTCTCTCATCCCTAAAAGTGGGTCACTACTCTCAGAATTGTAGGTATGTGCGGTTACGGACAGGATTTTCTCGACTCTTTTCCGTTTCACACTTTTTAGTTTGCCAACATAACATTTAAAAATAAAGTACATACAATAGAATTGGACACAATTCTCTACGTAATATTTCAAATATTTTTCATGACTTTTCTTTACTTCTTTCTACGCTGTTCGTACACAGTGATATAATGTTAAATCGTAACTATTCACTTTTATGCATTGTTTGAATAGTCTCGTTTTACATGCAAAAATGGAGATTACTACTTGGAAAAGGCGTAACATTTTTCATCTGGCAAATTAACTTTAATGTACCTAAATTTATTTTAAACAAACTACGTCTTTAAGATTTTTTTCTAATTTTTAAAGGTTAGAGAAGAATTACAAAAATTTTGTAAAAACAAAATTTTAATATTTGCACTCGGGAAGGTTAGAGCATAGATTTTAATTTATACACTGTAAACAATTTAGGGAGTTAACGGACTCGGGAGTTGGGAGTTAAATTTTTCGAGTTAAAAATCAACTCCAAAAGAGAGTTAATTTCTAACTCCCTTCATTCAACACCCGCGCGAGTTATTTTTTCCTTGGGGAGTTAGCATTTGGGTGTGAAATTTTAACTCTCTTTATTTAACTCCCCTGGCATTAACTCTCCAATGGGTGCGACTTTTATAGAATCCCCTGGGGAGTTAAAATTTAACTCCCTTTTTTTACAGTGCATGAAAGTGGGAAATATTTAGAAAATGAAAAATTGTAATCAATGAAAAGAGTTTAATATACTTTTATAGAGAGAGAGAGACAAATTGAATTCAGGGCTTTTATTGCTAGAATACTCTCAAAAACTAAATCACTTAAATTTCACTGAAGAGCAGTTAAAAGTGATTTAAATTTTTGTCATTTTTCACTTATTGGCCAATTCAATTTTTTAAATGGACAATCAGTGAAAAATGACTAATATTTCGGTAATTTTCAACTGATTTTCAGTTAAAAATTTTATACTGATGCAAATCGCGAAAATAGTATCACTGATTCTCAGTGTAATTTCACTGTTTCAGATTTAGAGAATTATTACAGCTAGTTTTTAAATGTTGATTGTGATTTTGTTCGGCAGTATTTAAGGAACTTATTTATAAATTTAACAATTTTTAGCTTCAACTAAAATTCAACTTTAATTATTATAAAACATGAATTTAATTTATAGTTTTAAGTAGAGTGTTCTCTTATTATTTGACTCGGACTGGTTATATTTTTGTCAGTAATTGGTCCGTAAAGTCCATATTTTTAAATACTTTCACTGGTTCCAGCCCTGTATATGTTTACATAATTTTAAGTAACAAAATTTTTTAATAGAATTTTTGTAAATAGTTTATAAGTATTAGGTATCAAACTCTTTAGTATGGATTCTCAAGTAACTCTATAACAAATAAATAAATTAAATATTTACTTGATTCAAATAAATATTTATTCTATTTAAATAAACATTGGGTTCAGTTTAATAAATGTTTGAGTTTGAGGAAAAAATTTAGTCATTTGAAGCAAATTTTTAATTGAACTAAACAAAATCAAAGTAATACTTATTTCATTGATTCAACGAAAATTTGGTAGTTTCGAATAAATTTTTCTCAGAGCATCTTGACTGAAGGACTGGAATTAGAAGAATTATTTTTTATTTAAGAAATTTACTAACCTTGTCATTTGCCAGAAAGCGTAAATTACAGGTGTTGTCACACTGGGTAAAAAAGCAATCCAAACGAACAAAATGTACAAAATGTCGAAATAGCTGCTATTCTCATAAGTTTCATAAAGAGCAAGCTTTGCTAATCTGCAACATAAGTGCACGAACGATAAAATTAAGTAGATATTGTGTTGGAATTTCTGCAGGATTGTATAGCTAGGAGGAGAGTTCTACTATTATTAAAGTGATTAGGTATATACATATATACTCGCAAGCACGTGCACCTAAATATTTTTAAAAATATATGTTCCATTATAAAGGAAATGTAAAGAAATATTAATATTTCTCCGTATTTTTTCACTCACAAATTTTCCATGAAGAAATTTTTAATAAAGTCCAATTATTTCAAATTTTTAATATATTTTGCAGAATTTTAAGACTTTTATTACTATCTTTTGAATGAAAAGAAATCTTATTATCTGTTTTTTCTATTGAAAGTAAAATAGACTTGTTGGATCAAAGGGGAAGGGCACATGATCAATGTAATTCAAATGGGTTGAATTTCTTCTTTTCTGCCAATGTGAAATCTTTTCAAATAATATTCTGGGCAGTTAATATCTTTGGTTCTCTCTCTTATTTCAAAGAGTTCCCTTCTTTCTAAAGATTATAATATAATAGAGGAATGTTTTATTAACTTTTTCAAGAAATTTACTATAAGATTTTTGAATTAAAAGAAAAAATCTAAGTATATAATTTCCAACTAAATGTCGAATAATTGTTTCATTATAAAAAATTATTTGATCGATTTTATCTGCACCACAAAAAATGTTTTTACCAACAAAAAATGAATTTCTTATAAGATTATATCTCAAAAATAATAAAATTAATTTAAATTATTAAAAATGCTTTCTATCACTACCACTTTTTAAAAAGTTTTCTTTAGTAGTCTGATGAAGGATTGCTAATCTGTATCATATGGCTGGTAGAATTTAAAAATATTATTTTAAAATAATTTCACGAAGTGAAGAAAAAGAATCTTAATTTGCTTTAACAGAATAATGTTTTCAGTTTGAAAACAAGTTATCTTTCCTCATGATATCAAAAGGCAAAGCTAGAATATCTGCATATTGCTTCATACCGTTAGAGAAGAAACTTATTTGATGGCGTGGAATAATTTTTTATTTATTTTAGTGCAATAAATTACATATAGTGTATAATATCTTTCATCAAAAGAGAAATATTCTGCATGTAGGAACTTTTTAATGATGCAGTTGAGCAAGAAAATTCATTAAAGCTGGTAAAGAAATCGAGAATTATCTGAACAATTATAATTTTTTTCTAACAAATTTTATACTGCCATCGTAATTTTTATAAATAAAAATATAATATTATACGAATCATCATCTTTCAGACAAGCAATTAATTTAATTAATATTCATGTACCTTAGAATCATTAGAGGACATAGACAAATGGCGTAAACTGATACCATAAATATCAGATACTTTTGAGCTCTAGCTTCTTTAGGAATATTTAATTCTATGTCATCAAAAGCAATAGGAAGACCAAGTGAATCTCTACGGACTGTTGTAGGCTCACGTTTATTATCCTGCATATTTCTGAAACAAATTTTCATCAATTTCATACAAATATTAAATTGCTCTTATAAAATTTCACTCGCGTTGTATATAAAATAGAACATGTAAATATCATGGATAAAAGTCCAATTCCACTGGGAGAGAGAAAGCAATTTGAAGCAATTTGTTTTTATTTATTGCGAATGAAAAGAATATATATATATATATATATATATATGTATATGTATTATGTATATATTCTGATAGTTTGATTCTACAATTAAAACTGCTTCAAGTTAAATCCCTTAAATTTAAAAATCTTTTCCCCTTTTTTATCGAATTTATCACTCCCTGACAAATATCAATATCATATGGGATGTCGATGGTCATTAATTTATATTTCAAGTGTTAGCTAAAAAGCTTTGAGTTAATTTTACTGGCAGAAATAATTGGAGCCAGAATTAAAAAATTTTGAAACTTTACTTTGATCAAAAATTAGTTTTTATTCTAATAATTAATTACTAAAAAGATCACAGGTGCGTGAAATTTCGAAAATTTATTTATTATAGCGAAATTTAAATTTAAATTTAATCCACATATTTACATAATTATTTCAAAGGGATTTCATCGACGAATATTACTTATAGAGAAATGCAATTTTTTCATAATTTTGCAATTTATCATATATAATAATAAATAAACATTAAACATAAAATTATTGATTTAACAATTGTTGCTATTTACTAACTTTTTACATAAAGCACATAGAAATATACAGTTTATTTAATTTTGCAATTAACTAAGCTGAGTAGTATAACTTACGAATTTAAATGTTCATCAATTTTTTATAATAAATGTTTTCTGCGGACATAAAAATTTTCGAACTAACGAAGGTTAAACCAAAATCTTTAATTCGAATAACTTGAAATATTTAGATGGTTAAATAATTTAAAACGAGAAATTTTCCATTCTTTGGTATTTTCAAAGTAAAAAAAAGTAAATTGCAAAAAAACTTACGAAGTGTCGTTACTATCAATGCTGTCTTGTCTCAAGCGAGTACCTCGAGTCTCTGACAAGCCTATTCCTGAAGAGTCTTCTGCAAATTGCAATTCCTTGCTTGCTTTTACATATACGTATGCTGTTATTGCTAGAGGAGCAGCATATCTAAGGAGAATAAATTTTCAATTTTCTTTGCATTAAATAGAAATAAGGAAAAGAATTTCTTTAAAAGATTTGTAAGAATTTTCTTCGATTTCATCTATATCGGTTAACAATACAAAGACATTAGTTTTCAAATCACTAACCGTAACGCCATTTCCGACTAAAAGTACCAGTACTTTTTTTTGTTTAAAAAAAAGTCTTGATGCTCTTTAAAAGCTCGAGAGTGTTTGAAAAATTTAGGACAAAGTTTTGTAAATACGTGAAACCAGAAATGTATTTATAAAAGTTTATGGAAACATTAACAAATCCTTCACTATAATATATTTTATGTCTAATGAAATAAATCCATCTACTTTATTAGACCCTATGGTTTTCAACTTTATTCGTTCTTCTCTTCTTCTCTCAAGAGAGAAACAGAGAATCTGAAGTTATTTTACACTTTCATTTATTTTATTTTCTAAAAATCCGATCTTTTAGTAATACCACCTTTTCTTTTCAATAATCTCAAATAAAAGACAAGTATTGCAATTTTTATTTTTATTTATTAAATATTTTTAATTATATACTACATTTCATCTCTAGTTTCACGTTTTTCTCACAACAGAAAATATTAGGCCTTTTCATTATACGCAATTAGAATTAAAATTTTGTGATTATTTAGAAAATTTAATTGTTTTTATATAAAAAGAATAATTTTATTAGTAAAACAATCAGTTTAAGGAACAAAAAAAAAAAAGTTTTGTCAATGTTTTGGTAAATGTTATATGAATCAATATGGATTTAATTAAAAGTTAAATATATGTTTGGATAGGAATTACATTAAATATCAAGTTTTAAATTTTATTTTAAATACCATAGCATTTAATATTTCTTTATTTATTTACACTTACGTGCCAATAAACAAGCCGCGCATATAATCTCTCATATCATCAAGTAAATTTGCGAAACATATTTCCAACCCTTCGAAATGATTGCTCAACATCTCCTGAAATTGAAATTAAGATTTTCGTTATCTCACCAGAAACAAATGGTTATTAGAGCAACACAATTATTAAATAATTATAAATTCATTAAATTAAAATAAACAAAGCTATAACTATAAATTCAATCGTATTTTCCAATAAAGTCCAAGTTCGCATTCAAATACGTTCAAATTGAAAAAAAAAGATGAGAAAAGTGATGTTAAAATATCGTCTTTCATGACTATCATACTATTTCACAAAGAGAAATCAAATAAGTATCACTTGATTGAAAAACAAAGAAATATTTGATTAATTTTTTTTTCCTGAATAATATAAACAATACAAGATTTGAAAAGCACTTAGTTTTTAAACAATTATTTTGATTTAATATTTTTAATAAAAAATAAAAATAATATATTAGTGCATTTACCCCCAAGTCCAAATAAGTAGTGTAAATTGGATATGGTAGTACAATACATCCAGCAAAAAACCATGTTCCTAGGGAGCAAACAAATGCTGGTATTCTAGGCTTTCCAGGTTCGCTGATTACTTTTAATCTATCGACTGCTATTAACAAGTACGTCATCATCGATATGTGAAATGGAAAATCCTTTAACATCAATATTTTCATTTTAATAACAAAAGCACTGTTATAAATAAATTGAGGGTCCCTATCAAAGAACCGGTTATAAGTTTTCAAGACTCAAAATTCTCGACCTCTAAATAAAAAAAAGATTTAAAATTTTAATTTCTTGAAAACATTTTGTAGACTGTAAAAAGAAACAGAAATTGGTACTAATTTAGTACCAATTTTGGGCACTAAATCGTGATTTGGTTCTATTTTAATGCCGAAAATCAGCTCTAATTTAGAACCTTTTATTTACAGTGTATTGGTATAAAGATTACGCAAATGTTTCTCAAAAAATTGAGATTAAAAACAGTTTAATTTTTTATTTACAGGGCAATGATTTCGAGCTTAAAAAACTTATAACCGGTTCTTTGATAGGGATCCTCAATTTTCAGTTTAAACATATTAAACAAATTTTATTAAACAAATTAATTCAAAATTGCGCATCGTTTAATTGGTAATAAATTAGTACCTTTCATTTTACAGTGTTAATAATATTGCCAAGTACACTTTTGTCTCTGTATATTTGTAATATATAATCATTTTTAGTTGAAAAATACCTCAATTTTATTGCATTTCAACTGTTTGAAAAAAAAACATTTCCCATAGGATAAATAATTTATCACTTTTTTCCAACATTTCTCACTCGTAACTCATATATGAACAGTTCTTTCGAAATATTCTCATATTTCCCCCATTAAAAATGGTTTAATATGATTTTTTGATGTACCTATAAATCTATTAATAATTTTTACGATGAAAATAATGCCAAATATTCAAAAAGTATTTTAAACTTTGAAAAAACAAATTCAATTTATTTTCACTGGATATGTAAAATAAAATTAAACTGTAGAATACAGAAAAAGTGTTGGCAGTTAATCGAAGTTTATTGAGTTTCAATAGATTGGTATATAAAAGACAGTATGCTGTCTATATTTACGAACAATTCATTTATTGCGTTACATTTTGTCACAAAACTTAATTGGTTAAGTAATTACATTATTCTTGAAATAATCAGTATTAACTATTAAGGTTTCTTAGCAGAGGAAAGGGGATAGGGTAGATGCACCAGTTTTGGCCACTTTAAGGAATTTCTGACTTTTTAGGTCATTTTTTCTTATGTTTATTATAAAAAATGAGATACCAAAACTTGTTAATAGATTAATTATCATTCTTAGTTTCAGAATTTCTTGTTTTTAAAGGTTAAAAAAATATTAATAATATAATGAATTAATAAATAAATAAAAATGTCAATTTTGCCAGTTTTGGCCACTTTTGCTCCATTTATGGCCAACGTTTGGCACCATTTTTGGCCAGTTTCAAAAACTAATATAAAACTCGTGCAGGCATGAAATAAAAGCAAATAGTAACTATTATTTCACAGAAAATAGTATTTTAACTTAATAATATTATGATACATGATATTTTTTGTAAACGAATATTATTGTAATGATTCTAAAAAACAATTATTTGTACTCACATTTTTCAGGTTACTAGAATGTAGTATAGACTTTAGTATATTTTAATTATTATTTTATATTACAGTAAATTTTTAAATAAATATCCAGTAAATAAGTAATACTTTTAATCTATTACCTCTTCTTTACTTTTGAAAGACAATTTTTCTTTTAATTCATTTATAATATTTTTGGTTATTGACATTTGTTTATATAAACATATAAATTTGTATTTTATTTTAGTACTATTATAATTGGCCACCCTATTTTTTATTAAATAAAAAGGTTTAAACAAATTATTTGGTATGTACTGAATAATTTAAACGACTCTTATAAATTTACACTGAGAAAACTGGAGTATTGGACTAAACATCTGGAGGGACAAATCGTTCATATTTGAGAGTTAGCTATTGGATAACAATCTCAATGTTCAAATACACCATATTGACAGATATTCGTGCCATTTCTCTAACAGAGGGACAAATTAACCATCTTGAGAAATCCCTTCCTTATCCGGCGCGAAATGAATAAATATGGCAACCTAACCCCTAAATTAAATACATAAAATGTCAGAAAAATAATTTCGCGCGCATCAGATCGTACACATTTTCTGCGCAACTTTTAACTCTTAGATATAATGGGAGAGAATATACAAGTAGATTTCCATTATCAATTCAAAATTTATTTTAGAAGGACTATTTAACTCTCTTCATAAGCAAAGGAAACATATTAATTGTGAAATAAAGTTTTATAAAAAAATATAAAGTGAAGGTAACAGAATATTATTAAAATTAATAAAAGTGTGTGGTTGGCCAAAACCGGTGGCATGGCCAAAAACGGTCCATCTACCCTAGTTTCTGCTTTTTCTTTTTTTGTTTCTTTGGCATGTTTTTGTTGTTTTCGAAAAGTTAATCTCTTTTTTTGCTACTAGAATTTTGGCTGTTTTTTGGAAAAAGCGAAAATTGAGGGTGTTTTCAATAAATCAAACTATTTTTTAATTTAGCGTGGGCTTCATGAAGTTTTTATTTTATTTTTTATGCGATCTTTTTCATTCATTGATCGTTCGGATCTTCAAGTACATTCTTTTTCTATAGTTTAGAAAACTTTTGAAAACAACTGGGGTTTATCGACATTTGTGTGTACCAGATAATTAATCAACAGTGTACACCGTTGTACATGGACATCAAACCTCCCACTTGATATATCTCGAATGCAATGAAAAGCATCAGAATTGTAGTAAGAGCCGAAAAGTACCTTAAAAAATCCTTCTTAGTTTCGAAAATCGCTAGTCTCTACTAGTTAATTAATTAAAAAAAAATTTCTTAACAAGTACGGTAATTTTTGTTTCTTCTAAATCTTTTAGCAATCGTTCTCTTTTTAAAGTTTATTATCACTGAACTAATTCTGGTACGAATTCTAATAGGGATGATTGATAGTGCAGAGGTATTTGCTTCAAATACAGAAATTATTCGCTTCAATGGGATAAATAAAAATTATTTGATTCAAGTAAATATTTATTTGATAATAGACAAGTAATCGGTTATATTTCAATCAGATACACCCTTTTTCAGACTTTGACCTAAAGTCAAAGCACATCATCGTTTGGGGTATAACATCGATCACATATATTTCATGCAGGATTATTAGTTCTATCATCAAGTAATAGATGTTAGGACATATCAGTTCCAACTAATTCGAGAAACGCATATAACTATATTCCAATTTTTTTTAATTTAACCAAAACGTCTAAAAATTTGATTACAAAAATATTTCGTGATATAAGATCTGAATTTTCATTAAAGAAAAACGTTGTGCACTTCACTGTTCCTGAAGAAGGACAACCGTATAATAAAAATTAATTGAAGAACCTACAAACCATTATCGAGAAAGCAATAAAAAAAGAAAGGAAGAATCTTAATAACACATTTACAAATTTTATTTGCTTCAATAATATATTTTTTATTCAAAGGGATGCTTTACTTTGTTTAAACCAAAAATATGTTTAAAAATAACTATTCAGTTCTACTCAATCGAATGTGCCTCTCCGTGAAAAAAAGACCTAAGAAGCAAAAATTTACATGTTACATTCTAAAAAATTAATAGAATCCTTTATTCAAGGGAAAAAGAAAACAAACATAACATGTAAAATTTTTCTTCTTAGGTCCCTTTCTTCACGGTATTAATTTTGTAATAATTTTCCTAAAATTTTAGAGCTATACAAAACAAGATTATTTTCAACTTTTTTTTTCTTTACCTGTAACATTGGAAGAAAGTAACAGAGAAATTTCCCAAAAATCCAGTTATCTATCAATATCACTGCTAATGATAGTGGAAGTGAAAAGAGACACTTTATAATATCGGATATTATCATATTTATTAAATATGCGTGAGTTGGATCTTTATATAATTTAAATTTTAAAATATGATATAACATTGTTAAATTGACAATAATTCCCGAAATTATTAATATTGCGTAAATAAAAATTATCAATGGATAAATTTTAAAGAAAATTGGTCTTAAATATGGTTTAGAAAAATCTTCCGTCTCATTTGTTGGATTCTTAAATCGCTCATTGATCCTAAAGAGAAAATGATCTTTATATTGATAATATTTATCCTCTTCTTCGTTGGACATATTTTTCTCAATAATCTCTTAATCGAATCACCAAAATAATTCAGTCAAGATTCTATCAATTATTGATTTCCGAACCTTCCTGTGATGTGATTTATTTGATTTCTTTAGTTTAATGCGGCCCCTATCGGAAACGTCTGTAATTGCAAAAAGAAAGACAATTGAAAGCGTGAATGCCAATTAATTATATGAAAAAAAGAAAAATCAAATTATCGGTTAAATTAGTGTTCTAAGAAGTGAATAGTTGAGTACGTTAGTGGTCAAGTTTTTCCTTTTTGTTTATATAAATTTTATATTTAATTAATATCAATTTATATGAATAGATATTGTGTCTTTTTAACGATTTAATTATTATATAAGCGGTGATTTATGGACCTTTTATATATAATATTATCCAAAATTTATGAAGAAATTGTGTGAAAATGAGTAATGACATATTGTAATAATGTGTTTCATTCATCAACATCCGATACATTATTTCATTGTATAGGGGATAGAGTTTAGTAATGGAAAATAATTTTTCAAAAAACATTACAAAAAGAATGTAATAAATAAAATGTGACAAATAAAATAACAATACATAGATCACCGTCCCAATGGGAAATTTACAACTGGCGTAGTACTGCGCCAGCACTGGCAGCACTGGCGGCAAGGCTGAGAGCCAGCACTGGCATAACTCTGGGATGATAACGCCGTCCGGCGCTGCCGAAGTACTGTCTGCCAGTGCTGCCAGACAGCGCTGGCGCAGCACTGGACCAGTGCTGGCTGAGAATATTGCCGCAATAAATGCCGTATTGTTATTAATTAGTCGTAAATTAATAATTATAAATAATTTAACAACAAAATGGTAAATAATATTAATAAATAGTTATTATTCATAAAATATTTCTCTTCTTAAAGAAATTGTATTAAAGATGGAGACTAACAATATGGATATAGTAAATGAAGTAGAAAAAAATTGTTTATAACATTTAAAAATTAAATAATAAACAATTACAGTAAGTGTGCATTAGATTTTCATATTTTAGTACCTAACGATTGGAATCTAGAAATATCGCAAACCTATGAAAATAAACAAAATTGCTGACGAGGGGAATCGAACCTACGACCTACGGACTAACAGACTAACGCTCTAACCACTATGCTAACGACACGTGTGTGCAGTAAAATTTTAATATCTCAGTATCATTCAGACATACAATTATTGAGTCAAAGATGAGAAAAAAATAGGGATACGTTAGAAATAATAAATTGAAATAAAATAAATTGAACTAAATTTTTAATAATTAAATTACTTTACTTATTGCATTTAACATTTTACGTAATTCTTAAATTACGTCGTAATTTTTTAATAATTTTTTATTCATAGTAAGAAGTATAATAGTATTTTAATAGGAACCAAATTATTATTGAGATTAAAGTTTAAATTTTGTTTATAATTTTAATTTGTTTAAATAATTTATTATTTACAAAGTTAGACAATTGTGTTAAATTGTTATTATTAAATTTAATAAGAATAAAAAATGAACAACTGAAAAGTAAAATATTAATTTTTTTCAATAAATTTATATTTATAAACATTCATAATATAAACTTTTTTTATAATTTTTTTCAAGTTTATGTCAAAAAAGCAATGTTGGCAAAGAGCGTTGTGAACAATTTTTCTATACTCAGCCAGCACTTGCCGCCGTGGCTTGTCCAAGCTTTGGCGAAACAAAAATTCTGTACTGCGCCAGCACTAATTGTCGAGGCTCGGCTAGACTACGCCGAACAATCGTCTGAGTACTAAGCCAGTGGTGAGCATCGGCACTACACTGGCATTTCCCATTGGGGTTATAAGGTTTAAAATTTATAACGTTGTATTGTTTATCACTTAAAAATGTAAAGTAAGACCTAAAAGGGTCTTTTAAAAAAATTTTAATCTCTTCTGTGAAACTGTGTTTATTTTCTTTTGATAAAATGTTGTTATTTTTCCTAGCAAAAGTATTATACGGGGTTTACTTTCATAAGAGGGTCAATCCATTTTAATTCGACTAATCTTAAATTGTAATATTCTGCAGAAATGATTTTAGTGTTATTAAAATATATCATATATAATAAAAAGATTGTTTCAAAAAAAATATACGTTTTGTAAATTATGAATTTAAACTGTAAAAGATGCCAAAAACTGTCAGGTAGAAAATAATTTACAAGGCATACAATTTAGTATAAAAGTATAACAAAAATTATTGATATTTGTTAAGTATGTCTATAAAATTATTATTATATCTACATTTGAAGATATAAAATAATGAATAAAATATTATCCCACACTGTAAAAAATTTAGGGAGTTAACGGACTCGGGAGTTGGGAGTTAAATTTTTCGAGTTAAAATTCAACTCCAAAAGAGAGTTAATTTTTAACTCCCTTCATTCAACACCCGCGCGAGTTATTTTTTCCATGGGGAGTTAGCATTTGGGTGTTAAATTTTAACTCTCTTTATTTAACTCCCCTGGCATTAACTCTCCAATGGGTGCGACTTTTATAGACCCCCCGGGGGAGTTAAAATTTAACTCCCTTTTTTTACAGTGCATAGTTCAGTTCATCAATAAAGTAATTTAATTTTGCGATTTTTATTAACAAATAATGGGGAAATGAAATTATAAAATTAAGTAAAAACTTACGGAATTATTAATTGGGAACTTGTGATGAACTTTCAGTTTTTGTTTATACAGTTTTCTATTTTCTCGTTAAATAAACAATATGTGCAAAATAAAATTGTCACTTTACATATTTTCACAACTTTCAAAGGTGTCTAACTTTTTTGAAAAACTTTTTTTATTTTGTGATTTTAATAACATTAAAATCATTCTTGCAAAATATCACAAAAAAAAGAAGTATTAATTTAATACGAAATGTGGTGTTAAAACTAGACGCAACATTTTTAACTGTCACTGTGCAAATTTTTAACAAAAATTTAACAAAAATTAAAAATTTTTGGTGTTAAAATATAACACTATGTTGAAAATTACACGCAACAAATTTAACATATTTTTTCCCTGTGATATTATAATTTTTTAAAATTAGGCGGCAACCACTTAGTCGAAATAAACTGGATTGTTATAAGCTTTTAGATAAATAGTAAATTGATTTTATTATTTGAATAAAACACGTACTCACAAGAACTTTATCCATTTTTTATGACACCATTTAATAACTTTTTCTTATATTCTCAAAATAAAATTTAAAAAAAAATTAACATATTTCTATCGTTGACATTTTTTTTTTAATTTTTAAAAACTATTAAATATTAGGAGTAGTTTTTTTCTTTTTTTCTATTCTATTGAAATATTCCGAACTAAAACGTTTTTTAGTCCTTTGAGAATGAATCAGTAGAACACTGCCGCTTTCGTCGGCCAGACTGACGCGAATGGATATTACTACTTGGCACGATCAGAATTTAGATCTTTGAATTTTATGCGCATGGCTGAGAGTTTCCCTTTTGTTTACGAGAAAATTTTCCAATAAATTTTCCAAAGAAATTTATCCCCCAACACTATAGGGTTTCATTCTTAAAAGATTATTCGAAATTATTTCATTTAATAAATTTTTAACTATTTTTTTTATCCTAAACACACTGAAAAAAAAATTTATTTGATTCATCAAATAACCGATTAATTGACTATTATCAATTAAATATTTACTTGAATCAAATGATATTTATTGGAGTCAATATTATTTGATTTAATTAAATATTTAATTGATAATTTAGTCAATTAATCGATTATTTGAATAAAATAATTTTTTTTTCAGAGTAGAGAAATCACTTTTTAAAAATTTCTTTGTGAATTTTCCAATTCTTTTGTTTACAATTTAATTTTACGAAATTTCGATTATTCCGACATTCTTCAATTAAATATATTAGAAATTAAAAACTTCAAATAATTAAAAAAAAATTCCATTAAACTTTTTGAGAAAAATTAATTCTACAGAATTCTAAATTAAAAGTATGAAAAGTTCCATTTTGAAAGATTTTAATTTGAAATTCATTTTTAAATAAATATTTATTAGAAAATTCTACAAGAATTCAATTATTTAACTACAAAAATAAATATTTTATTAAACAATTGAATGTTTCTTAAATTTGAATTTTCATAAAGAATTTTATCAAAAAATTTTTAAATAATTGAATTCTTTTGACAAATTTTAATAAAATTTTTAAGAATAATTAAATTTTTTCAGAAATTCAATTAAAATTGTATTAAAACTAATTGAAATTCTGCCAAGAATTTTGTTAAAATTTTTGAAAATAATTGAATTTTGGAGAAAAATTTTATTATTCATGAAAATAATTGAATTATTGCGAAAATAAATTTAATTAAAGTGTTTAAAAAAATGAATTTTGGAGAAAAATTTTATTATTTATAAAGATAATTGAAATTTTGACAAGAATTTTTGTAAATTTTTAAACATATAATTGGATTTCTCCGAAGAATTATATGAAAATTATATTGAAAAAAAATTGAATTGTTACGCAAAGAATTTCATTAAAATTTTTGAAAATAATTTAATTCTTTAAAGAAATTTAATTAAAAATGTATTAAAAATAATATACTTAAATTCTAATAAATAAATTGTAGCAAAAGTTTTTCAAATAATTGAATTTCTTTGATAAATTTTAATAAAATTTTTAAGAATAATTACATTTTTTGAGGAATTCTATTAAAATTGTATTAAAAATAATTGAAATTCGGCATTGAATTTTTATTATTTATGAAAATAATTGAATCTCTGTAAAAAATTGTATTATTTATGAAAATAATAAAATGTTTGAGTAGAATTTTATTAAAATTTTATTAACTAATTTAAATCTAGTAGGAATTTTTATTAAAGTACTCTCTAAATTGGAATTATTAAAAATGTTTACTAATTTGAATTAGTGACTGAATTTTTGATTTTAAATTAGTAAATTCAGTTAATTTTACCAATAAATAGTAATTTCTACAAATTTTTTAGAATTCAATTACAGTAGAGACTCCATTATCCGGACCCCTATTATCCGGATATTCGATTATCCGGACAAATTTAAAATTAAAAAAATTTTTTTTAATATAAAGTTTATAAGGTCTCAAGCCGTTAACTTCTATTTTAAATTTCTCCCCGACAACAAACACGAAATGTTGCGTTTTAAAGTGTTTTAATTATTTTAAGAAAATGTTTATTTAAATATTTTGAAATATTTCTAACTAAATATTTATTAATGTTGACTTTAAAAGTTTTAGTTTGTTTCAGTCTTATTTTAATACATATGCAAATAAATACATAAAATTATGAATCAAAAATTTGTTTAATTCGTACTTTACTCGATTATCCGGACAAGTGCCTGCATCCATTAGTCCGGATAATGAAGTCTCTACTGTAGTTGAAAAAAATTATAATACAATTGTACGCAAACATTTCATTATTTTCATAAATGATAAAAATTTCCCAGGAATTTAATTATTTACAAATTATTTTCATAAATTATTATTTAATTATTTTCATAAATTTTTATTCAATTATTTTCATAAATAATAAAACTCATCGTGGACTTTCAATTATTTTAAATACAATTTTAATGGAATTCCTGGAAAAATGTAATTATTCAAGTTTTATTATAATTTATCAAAGAAATTCAATTATTTTAAAAACCTTTGCTACAATTTATTTATTAGAATTTAAGTATTATTTTTAAATTGTTTAATACAGTTCAATACAGTAGATATTAAAAATATAAAAAATTTAAGGAAAGTTTTTGAAAATAATAAAAATTTTGCCAAGAATTTTATTAAAATTTGTGAAAATAATTGAACTTCTCAGAAGAATTTTACTACTTTTGAAAATAATTGAATTTCTGCAATCATTTGTAATTGCTTCAAAATTCAATGTGTTTTAGTGTTTTTAATTAAAATTCTTCTATACTTTTTTTTTGTATAGACTGAAAAAATTCTCTTAAAATAAGAGGACGTTTTTTGAGCCATTTTTCAAGAGGTAAATATGCATAAAAATAAGAGAAAACCTTTTAAAGAAGAATATTTTTTTTCGGTGTAAAAATACGTATCCACTACAACAAACATTTTCCCTTCCATTCATCCAATATTTGTATTTATTTATTTATTTATTCATTCATTATTCCTCACTCACGTTCTAAATCTTATAGTAGGTACCCTATTTTTTCTTTCCCCCTTTTCTAATATAAAATTCGTTTTTCGGTTTCCCATGACCACTTTGTACTACATATTGTATTTTTAGATTCTTTAATTTTCTTCCTTTCATCCATATATTTTTTTTCCATTTTATTCTTTCATTTTTTTTTCTTCTTCTGAAACACCCTCGCTCGTTTTTATTTTCCGTAGCATCATTTAATTTCTTCTCATCCCTTCGTAATCCCTCTTTTTAACAACTCCAAATATAGTACAGCATCTTGCCAATATATATATTTTTTTACTTTTTTTCAGAAATTTTTTTTTATAATTTAACCGACCTCTTCATCTTTTTTTTGTCTCATCAGCTTATTCGTTGATTTTCCTTTTCAACACACATAATCTGGACATTTTTTTATTAAACCCCGTCGTCCTTTTCAAAATACCTTTCATATCATTCTACACTTGAATTCTCGAACGTGATAGTGGGAATAAGTTTGATATTTAAAGGTGTTGAGGGATAGACGTGATTACGTGAATACGGGATCAGAATCAGCAAACTGAATAAAAGCTTGAGCGTCAGTTATTTTAATGTTTGCAGAGAAATTAATTTTATGTTTTAATTCAGTCATTATTTTCAATTTCAGTAATTTTAGTAATATATTACTCTTAAAGCCTATAATAAACTTTCTTTTTTTTTAAATTAAAAATTTTTTTTTGTCGAATAACATTTTTATTGAAAGCAAATAAATAATTTAGTAAGTTCTGAGGAAAATATACTTTTTTATTCAACTTAAATAAATTATATTTGGTTTGAAGAAATATTTATCTATTTACAGAGATATTCGTTCTGCAGGTAATATTAATTAGAAGAAAATTTAATTAAATATTATTTATTTATTATTAATTATTAAATTAAATAATTTAAATTAAAAGGAAATTATCAATCTTCCTAGTCAAATAATGGTAATTTCCTTTTAATTTAAATTAAATAAATATTTATTTATTTATTATTAAGTAAATATTATTTTTTATGTCCCTAAAATTCTGCTGGACATTCAATTGAACAAAAGTTATTAATTTTCTCTTCCCCTTCAAATTTTATTCAACAATATTGTGTCACGTATTAAAGATTAATTTATAAAGTTTCAAAATGTGTTAGTTAAGTTTTTCATTTTTATTGCTGTCAGTAATTTTGGAAAATATTTATATAGTGAAGAAATGTTTCGTTTTTTGGAACGATGAGAAATTAAAATAAAAATTTTTGTCACTTTGGTATTTTTTAATGATTAAAGTTAACTTTAAGATGGTTTAAAATTAATTTTTATTATCTGAAATGGAAAACAGTTTTTAAGAAAATTTTTTACGCAATGACTTTAGTCAAAAATGAATATATTAAGCACAAAAATCGGATAGAAAATATTCAACAAGTAATATTTATTAATATTTCTCCTTAAAATGAGAATGTAAAAAATAATTAATTATAACTTATTTATTTAGTTAATTATTTCATTACATTCGGTGGTTTAGAATTTTTTCCGTCGAACACGTATTTGTTTAAAATTGAAAGCGATTTTATATTTTTTCAGTGACATTTTAAGATTGAAAAATTTCATTTAGTTCCTGCAGGTCAGTTACAAAGATTGTTTAATGGTATTTCTAAAGAACTCATTTAATTGTCAGAATAGGGAGAGATTCAATAATAGTTTAAGTGCAATACTATAGACATTAAAGTGAGTAATCTAATAAAATGCGGTAGAATAAAATGATAACAAGCAAGAAACTTTTGCCTATAAATCCTCGTTAAATTTTATGACACGATTGAAATGCTCAGAATATAATTTATTAAAATATTAATTTAACAAAATTCCATGTTTGTTTTTTAGTGTATAAAAAATTAATTAACGTGAATTTTGCATTTTTGATTTTTTCGACAAACATATTTTTGATAGAATAAAAAAAAATATGTCATAGTTCGTTATTTTTAGAGTTGGAAACAGCAGAAGCGATTTTTCGAAAAAAGTAAAAAAAAATGACGTTGCAATGAAGGATATAAATTAATATTATTTTTGCTTTTTTGATGCGAAAAAGATTCGCAACTGTCGCAAAAAAAATGTTATTTATTTCCCAAAAGTGTTGTTGCTATGCGTTGCACTTCACCTAATTCTTTAGAGGTCAAAAGATGCTATTCATGAAATAATAGTCCCACAAACGACGCAGAAATGATATTAAGTGAATTATTTAAATTACCTTCCTACCGTGAGGTCAGTTGTGCACATTATCAGTGATATAAGAGAGCGGTCGTGACCGGGAGCAAACATTAAATCCCTTCATCATACAGTGACAAGATGATTGTCATTCTTATACCGTTCTTTTTAGGTAAGTACAGCTAATAATTACTGCTATTAATCAAACTATTTTCTTATTTTCTCAGCACATGAAAAAGAATTTTTTTTATATTTACAAGTGCATAAAATGTTCAGGAATTAATGTTTAATATATTGTGTACCGACAATGGAAAAAGCAAGCATAAACATAGATCGGTCGTTTGAATGTTCGAAATTTATTATAAGAGTATTTTTACCATTCTTGAACAATTAAAAAATTTTAATTGTCTGAATTTGGGAAAAATTAATGAAATACTAAAATGAATAGGTAATATAAAAATAATTTAAATTTTACCTCACGTATAATCACAAATATAAAGTTATTTTATTCAATAATAAAATTCTCAAACGATTCGTACATATTAAATCTCTGTATTCATATATATATATGTATAAATATTTAAACTAAAAAATCAAAAACTGTTTCATGAGTTTTTATCGACTTATTTTGTATTCAAAAGGAATACAAGATTCGTGCATCAATTGATATATCTAGTTTAAATTGTACGTGAAGCCAATAGATTGAAATTCATTTAAATTTAGTGTTCCATCTGTTAGAAGTTTCCCTTTCGAAGCACAATTTTCATTCACTGCATTAAATTTATGGAACAAATTGAAGAAACCTAAATTTTAATTATCTAACAAATTGCTGGACATAATCACAGAAAATAAGAAGTGTTATTTTAACACAAAAAGTGGTGCTAAAACTACACGCAACATTTTTAACCGACACGCTGTAATTTTAATAATAGGTAGAATATTGTTAAAAAAAATAGCAAAATTTAATTTTTCCAAATTTTCTCAAATTCGTTTCCCGGGGGCACGAAAGGGTTAAAAAAAATCCAGCACGGGTAATTAAGATTTTCTCGTTTTTAAAAAATTTATGCATATAATTAGGAAAGAGATTACATTTAATTAAATTCTTTTTATATTGTAGAATAATTGTGGCTAACGTCAAACGTTTCTAAAATGTGAGAATTTAATATAATTTTAATTAATTAGCATTTAATGTCAGCACATTTAATATTTGTATTTAATATTATCATGTAATATTAAGTTCTTAATAAATTATAATCATATATTAAAAGCATTTTCATTATACAGGCTTTACACTCATCTACTAAAACCTACTATTTACTACATTTTTTTACGTTATGCTACTATTTGGGTACTTTTTTTTAGATTTCAGCCACTAAAAGCTACTATTTCAGTTTTATTTTATTTTATTTTTTTTTTTTTTTGAGAATTTCCACTACTTTAAATTCGCTAATTCTAGAAATCACAAAACTATTCTCAAAAATTATAATCAAATTCTTTAAAATGATTCAATTAGTTTCAAAAAATATTCCAAATTCAATTATTTTAAATATTCAGTATTTTCATAAAATTTCGCAAAAAAATTGATAAAATTCATCCAACATTCAGTTATTTTTAAAAATAACAAAATTTATCGCAGGATTTCAATTATTTTTAATATAATATTTTACAAGAATTGCTTGAAAAGTGTAATTATTCTTAACAATTTAATTTCAATTCCTCGAAAAAATCAATTGTTTAAAAAAATGATTTTTTTAATTCTTCTGAAGAATTCAATTATTTACCAAAATATTAGAATTTTTCACAGGAATTCAATTATTTTCAAATATTTTAATAAAATTGTGCGATAGAAATCAATTATTTTAAATACAATTTTAATTAAATTTTTTTGAAATAATTCAATTATTCTTTTAAATTTTAATAAAATTCTTCCCAAGAATTCAATTATTTACATAAATAATTCTTCGAAAGAATTCAATTATTAAAGATAAATAACAAATTTATTCCCGAAAATGCAATTATTTTGAGGCATTTTAATAAAATTCTTCGCAAAATTTAATTATTTTCATAAATAACAATATTCATCACAAGAATTCAATTTTTTTTTAAAGTAATAAATTTCTTCTTGCAAAATGAATTATTTTTAAAAATTCTAATAAAATCTTTCTCAAAAATTCAATTATTTTCATAAATAATAAAATGCTTTTTAGGGATTCAATTATTTTCAAAAAAATTTAATGAAATACTACATAGAAATATAGAATGGGTTTTTTGTCAGTTTTGTGAAGTTTCTAAAACGAGTTTTTTTTGGTCGTCAAGTTTAATTTTTCGAGAGCTACATACTTTCTTACTACTTTTTTTAGTTTGAAAGCTACTTTTTGAAAATTGAATTATCGAGTGCGAAATCTGATTATAGTAATGAAGAATTAAACTGCGTGACATATGATTAAAGTATAACGAAAAATACTATTTTTTATTTAAAATATTAATTAATATAAATAATTATATTAATTATTATTAATTATTTGAAATTTAATATTAATAATTCATAATATGATTTAATGATAATAATAGTAATAAAAATAATAATAATAACAACAATATGCACACGTATACAATTTTTTTGAAGATAATTTTGAAGTGAAAACCATGAACGATTTTTGGAATAATACTAGTATTAGAGGTTCATAAATATTTTTTATTACTCTTAGAGTACATATTCTGGTATCTTTATAAAAGTTTTGTGCCAAATTGCTTCTTGTAAACGAGACACATAAAAATAATATTATAGACAAAATTGTTAAATACAAAATTTTCTCCTTTCTTTTTGTCGACTTCTTCCTTCTTCAGAAGAAAGAAATTGAAAAATGAATTTTAATTCCTGAAAAAATTATACTTTGAAACTATAAAAAAAAATTGGAAAATGTGAAGATTATAAAAATGAATATTAAAAAGAATGTATTTATAATAATTCGTTTGCATGATTAAACTAAATTTTCAATTAATTTGCAATTATTTAAATGTTCATTGATTTTCAGTCGCACAAATACCAGTCGAAGAAAGTGCCTGGAAATATGGACCCGAATATACATTTGAAGTGGCTGTAAATTTGTCGGCTACTGTTGAGAAAAGCATGGAATTAGTGAAGTCCCATACAATAAATACTCTTCTAGTTTGTCGACCAAAAAATTCAGACGCCTTAAGTTGTCATCTTCAAGTTCCCGAAACTTGTAAAACAACCAATGAAAAGGAGCTTAATAAAATTAATTGCACCAGTTTCAATCCAGATGAATTTGAAATTAAATTTAATAAATCTGGTGTTGAAAGTTTACTGGTACAAAAAAATATATCAAACTTACATTTAAATATTATCAAGGAATTAGCAAATCAGTTGAGCATTGGCGCAAATCTTTATGAGAAATTAAATGAAAAGAATTTTGAGGCAAAAGAAAATTTAACAATTGGAGAATGTAAAGTTAATTTTAAAATCAATCATGCTCCAAGGGAGCAGAATTCACGTAAAGACGTTTCATTTAAATTGGATATTTTACCGTTTCCCGATAAAATTTCCAAAGACAATCTTGAAATTGAAAAGTCGAGAAATTTAAAGGATTGCACGAATTTTGTTAATTATGTGTGGGGAAATTACGGTACTGGAAATGAAAGTTTGCTTGCACCTGGAATTGACACACAACTCGTAAGTTCCTAACAAAAAAATCTTTAATTGTATTTTTTATGATTTATTTATTTTTTCATTGTTTTTTATTCTTAATTTTTCTTTTTAGGATTCAGTGACGACTCGAATGAATGTAACCGACACAAGTTTTTCATCATGCACCCACACTGAAGCCGTAAAGTATCTTGGAGCAGTTGCAAAAAGGACTAAACTTACGATAAAAACAAATGTTACTCTTAAAAATATTGAAGCTGCTAAGGATAAGTTACCAGTTATTTCAAATCCTGGAACGACGCCAATATTCGTTAAAATCAATGTCCAAGAGCTCAAAACAAACCAATAAATGTTTAAGTCTGATAAAAAAAATAATGGTGATACATTAAAAAAAAGAAATATCCTAATTCTGGTAATTTCGAAGGATGTTTTGTAATTTGTACATTAGTTAGAAAATAAGTTATCGAAGAATATTATTTCGCTAATTTTTGTGATTTAAACGATGTTTCTGGGTTTATCCTGGTCACAAATAAAAATCATTAAAAAAATATCTTTAATTATTGGAATTTTTTGTGGAAAAATAATTTTTCTATATTATCAATTAATTATAATAAAGTTATTTAAATAAAGGACCTTAATCGCAAGGATTTATATAATTATATAAAGAATGATTTAACTCATTAGATTTATATAAAATATATTTTCAAACATATTTATAAAATGGTAATTCTATTTTTACATTTCCATTAAAAATGAGAAGGTCTTGTTTTATAGAAGTTAATAATGATGGATTATTTACTCCCTTGATCATTAAATTCCAAACGTGAATAATATCAAACTTTAATTTAGTAATTATATTTTTCAATACTGTGCCTTCAAAGAACATTATAATGAATTATATAATATATATATATAGTCATTTAAAAAGAATTTTTTTTAAATTACTAAACAAATATCTAAACTCAAAGATGAGGTATATTTTTCTCACAATTTATTATTCTATTTACTACAACTGAATTTATTTGATTCAAATAAAAATTTTATTTGCTTAAAAAGAAATTAATTTTTTACATATAAATTCTATTTGGAAATAAAGATGGAAAACTTATTAAAAGAAAAGCGAGTGAATAAATATTCTCAATATCAGTTTTGGTGAAATGTCTTTTATTTTCAAGCTCAATGTACCATTATTATATTATATTAAATTCGAATCATAAGTTTCACGACTCACTCTTTTATTTAAACAAATGGTACAATTTTCCTTATAATACTATTATTTAAAATAGCCTAATTTATTTCTCGATTTCTTTTCATTATTCTTTAATAATTATATATTGATGTACACAATTAATTATCAATATTTTTTGTTTTCTTGGACAAAATTCACATTTTCGAGAAATAAATTTGTATACGGCTTCTATTTATGAATACAACATAAATCACTATGTGAATATCATCAAAAATTAAATTTACTCTTGATCCACATTTATTTAATGATTGCACTTTATGTTCGATCCTCCAAACAAAATTAATTCATAAATATACGAATTCTATATTTATTTACACTCATACATTCTGTTTATTATCGTATCTCGAAATTTTTAAACAATATTTCCAATTTATTTAGAACTGAAAATAATTCATTTCATTCTAGTTGTTATTATTAAAATAATTGCGACATTTTTTAGTAGCAAATTAATAATAAAATTTTTTTTCAAGTTTTCTTTGTATTTAAAATTACGTATTTTAAAAGCCTTCGTAGAAGCTGATTTTATATAATACCGAATAACGATAATTTAACTTATCGTTAGAGTAACAATTGCTTGGCAAATGTACTAAATATAAACTAACATTTTTTTTTATAACGTATTATCTTATCGACATGGGCTTTGAAAAGTCCTTGTCTATGCAAAAATTTTTTTATTTTTCCATTTTTTTTTCTTAATGACTTCTGTTTTGAATATTTTAATTTTTAGACCGAATTTAAAAAAAAAAGAAATAAAAAATTGAAAAATTTGGCCAATTTTTATTTTTTACAATATAAAGAAATCATTTTGTCTATATGTAATTATATTCTTCAGGTTTTTAATTGAAATTCTTTTCTTTTTTTTTTACAGATAATTTCATTTACCGTAAAAACAAATCACAAAATTACGTAAGTACCTATAATTTCAGTAAGCCTATGAAAAAAAATATATATTTTTGATTAATTTACTGAAATGTTATTTTCATAATGCAGTCCAACAAAATCGATAATGGCACGATTACAATTATTTAATTACTGTGCGTACTATTCAATAAAATTTTAGCCATTTTATCGTTACTTTCATTCTCAAATTGATTAATATTAATATCCTATTGAGAACTATAGAATATTTATTTTTAAAAAACAAGTTTTTTTCATGAAATCTGTTTTCAAAATATTAACATACAAATTACGTGCGTAAATCGATATAAATAGTTGTAGAATTGATTCGCAAGTGTATATTACTATATAAATATTCGATGAAAAATAGTCCATATAAAAAATGGATGATCTCTTGTAAAAAGGAGAATTCATCGCAATTGTAAAATGAATCTAAATTGTGTGTATTTCCCTCATTTTGAAATTTGACTTAATATCGATTTATTCAAAATTTGATATATAATTCAGTATTATATATTAAATATATTATATTATAGATAATATATAATTATATTATACGTTATCTAATATAATGTATTTATTATAATTTTACTAGTTACGCAATACTTATATTTATTTAATTTATGACTGTTTATAAACAAGTTTGTTTTGTTTATTATTACCTTGGTATATTAGGCGCAAAATTATCTTCAAATGGAAAGATTCATGATTACGATAATTAATCATCTAGAAGTTAATTCACAAATTCACGCAGTAGGAAAAATTAGGCAATTTTTCAAATACATTTTGCCTCGCATTTTGCATAAAAAATTTTCCATATATTATTTTAAAAGTAATTTTTTTAGCCCGATTTTTTTTTCTCTTGAAACAAATATAACTTTGTTAAGTTTCCTGATGACAAGAACGTGCAATTAATGATAATTACTAAAATTATACAACTTAAGTTAAATTCGTTTTTGTTTATACAACTTTTCAAGTTGAGAAATAATTAAATATTGCACGTGTTTGTCAAAAAAAAATTGTCTTTTTTTAATTATGAACTCAATTTCATATTTTTTTTTTTTTGAGAATCTCACCATTTTAAACTTGAAAAATCAGCTATCTTAATCTAAGAATATTTACATAGATTAGTACGTTTCAAAAATGAACGTTCAAGTGGCCTATCGTTAAACGATATTAAATCGGCGAGGAGAAATTATACACAGGTTTTGATAGCGAAAAAAAATTGTTAAAAAAGAGAAGACGCGTAGGAGTAGAAAAGAAAACGGAAACAAAACGTTTCATTATTGAACATCATTAACGTTATTCTGTTTTGAATCCATATTTGGAATGTAGTCCATAGCCATTAGGCAGGCAAATACTGTCATCACCATTTTCTGTTTCACTTCGGTAATGTCTTCAGGCAATGCATAGACCCGCGCTCCACATTTTCGAGCCAAGGATATCGCATATTTTGCATTATCCAAGTTTTCCTGCAAATAAAAGAAGAAATCGATTAGTTATTCCGAGAATAAATTTTGAATGTGGCAAACAAAAAGGCAAGTTTGAAAGTTAGTTTTACTGAGGAACGAATGAAAAACGAGATAATTTATGCATGAAAATTGAAAAGTTTCCTGTTATTCTTGCAGAAAAAAATTAAAAAATTTTACTTAAAATTACAACCTAGGTACAAAAATTACACCCGATGTTTTACTACGTTCTCTGTTAGCTATTGCAAATAATAATATTTGATTATTTTTACCTCATCCTTTCCTCCCTCCTTGACGAGATCATAATTTACAGTTCCTGGTTTAATGGAGTCAATTAAATCGAGAAGAACTTTTCCATCAGCTATCGCGTAGTCTTGGAAACCCTTAATGCTACTGGTTTTTCCAGCAGTTTGCAATTTTGAATTAACCCACTGTACGATTTCTTTTTCCACACTTATATTATTTTGTGTACCACCAAGTGAGGTCAACAGTGACAGAGTATATGATCTCATTAGTTGCCAAATTAAAGCTAATGTCAATGTCGCATTACCATCATTAATATCCTGACCAGCGATACCCACTAAGGAATAATTCATATTCTTTCCAAGCTCAACGGCATAATTACAATTCTCCAACTTTTCCATAAATTTCCTCAACTTTGTGAACTTCCTGTGAACCTTATTCCACTTGACTGATCCCGGTTTGATAATGTCATAAAGCTGGAAAATGACAAGACCATCGGCGAGATCGGAATAGAGCCAATTGACGTGTGGCGACACACCCAAAGAATTCATCCAATTACGATAAGTCTTTTCCTCTCGTGTCTCCTCTAAAGCCTCGAGACCTTCAATATTCGTTTCGGGCTTATCTAGACAGGGATAATTATTAAACATGTTCGCTACAAAGGCAAGATTCAACTTGTAAATTCCGTTAACAACATCGCTTGGTGTGACGAAACTCCGACAACCAAGTTTGCCGGCTTGTTGAAGCATTATTTCGGCTCTTGTCATGTGATTCGATTCCATTAGAGCCTCGAGGGTTACTTCGGCGGAATTAGGCGCTATTTGTTTTATCAAGTGGGAATATATCTCCGAATCGGTGATGTCTGACATAAAGTTGGTGCATCTTCTTGCAATGCCAGCATTTTCCAAATGATGATTCACCCAACGTAGGAGAATCATTTCTGGCGAGAGTTTAAGAAGGTCCTCGATGCGCTCTCCTTCTTGAAGTAGTGTAGCTAGGCCGGGACAATTTTCTAAAGTGATTTGATTAAAGAGACCAATCCTTATGATTTGCCAAAGAAGACCCAGAACCAAATGTGGGGATCCTTTGGTGAGATCGTGTGCGTCGATGTTGACAATATTGCAACCAATTGCCTGTGCTGATGACAAAGCAAGTGTCAAATTTTCATGCTTCTTGTAGAGGGTCATATTCTTTTTGTTGATTGTACGCTCGTCAATCGTATCCGGACAGGAGTGATTGATAATTTTACTGAAAGGAAAAAAATCTGTTAGATTTCGAAAGTTCGGACTAAAGTGGAATGGGGATGTGTTTTTTGGTATCAGAATATTTACCATAGAAGAATACCATCCTTGACTTTATCATAAAGAGCCTTGCCCTCGCCATCGATTGGAAGAAGGTGTTTCAGATCGGGATCGTGAGCCAAATTTGTGTTTATCCAATCACTGAAAGCGAGTTGTTCCTCAAGACGTACTGAATGTGTGGTACCTTCACTCGATGCTTCGGAAATTCCACCCAAAGTCTCTAGATTCTCCTTCTTTGAGACAACTTGCTTAAACGTGGAACCGAGCTCATTTGCCTTGAGTTCTTTACATAGTTTCTCAAATTCCTCAAATGATAGACGACCTTTGTGCTCCAATCTTTGCTTGTCATCATATTCTTCAATCATTTGACGTACTTTATATCCTGGCATTTTAAAACCACAGACATCCAGTGCATTTCGCAATTCTGTCAGATCGATGAATCCGTCACCATTCTCATCAATCTGTAATTAGAAAACAAGATTTATTATTCTCAAATGTTTCAAACAACTAATACAGACTTCACAGTCTGTCCCCTATTTCCCCAAAAATTCCCCTTTTTTTAATTTTGGCCCCTAAATGTACCCTATTTTGAAAATTTCCCCTATTTTTTCTTTTATCTTTTAATGATGAATTCACACCAAATTTAGCAAAGTTCCGTTGAAACTTTCAATTGGAAACTTTTGTTTTGAAAGTTTCAAATCTTGAAATTTATGATCAATGAAATTTATCAAATTTGTAAGATTAGTATTTTGGTGAAGTCAAGTCTCAATTATGTTTAGAAGTTGGTTGTATTTTAAATTCTTATAATCTGCACAAACTTGTTATGACCTACATTATTTTTAAAAGACAATATTCATCCCAAGAATTCAATTATTGTCAACAATTTTTTAAAAATTCTTCTCAAGAAGTCAATTATTTTCAAAAATTTTAATAAAATTCTTCTCATGAATTCAATTGTTTTCAAAAATTATTATTTAAATTCTTCTCAGGAATTCAATTATTTTTAAAAAATTCTTCAAAAATTCTTCAAAAAGTTTTCAATTATTTTCAAAAATTGTTATAAAATTCTTTAAAAAACAATGTCATTAAAATTTTAATTAAATTCCTTTTAAAAGAAATTCCTTAAAATTAATTATAATAATATTCTTATGAGTTGTTTAATTTGAAAAGGTTTGAATTTGAAATTTTTTAACATCCTAATTCCAATGAAAAAAAAAATGATTAAATATTTATTTTAAATAAAACTATTGATGTTTTCGAATAATTTTACTTTGGAAGAAATTTGTAAATAAATTTAATAGAACTTTTTTTTGAGTATCTAATAATTTTAGAGTGAATCAGAATATTCTTTAGGGTCAGGAAAAAAGTCAAAGTTGTGTTTGGAAATCAGGGAAAAGTCAGGGAAAAATAAAGTTAAATTTTTGTGGCAACCCTGTATAAATAAATTATATTTTTATCTTTATTTAATCAATTTTTATGGTCCTCTAAAAGTCCCCTATTTTTTTAATTTTCAGTCCCCTATTTCCCCTAAAATACTTTTTAGGGGCACTGTGAAGCCTGCTATTAGAAAATAACTAGAATTATTAAAACTGGTTTCTAATTTGTCGTAGAAATACAAATTAAAACAGAAATATCGATTTGATCATTAAATAACTCAGTTTATCCTAAAGTAATAAACTGTTCACACAGATACTGATCATGTACACTGATGTTATATTTCTGTAAACAGAGACAACTAAAGTAGGTAATTATTGAACCAATCTGGCGACGTCATTAGTTTACTATTAATAGGGCCGCAACTTTAGCGGATCTACCTCTTTGATATATTTCTGAACATGTGTTAAATTTGATTTTGGAAGCAAAATTATCTAGCAGTAATTACTATTATCTCTAAATAAAAAGTCTTTTTTCGATTCTATCTTCGATTACACCTTCTGGTACAATGATCTTGAAGCGAGGTTTAAATTTCACTCCTTTTAGATATTTTCTTTTGTCCCATAATAGGAAGAAACAAACCACAAATTATATTTTTGGGATAAAATGGCAAAGTTCAAGTACAACTAAAGACTATGTGCAAATTGAGTAAACACTACTTTATTTGACAAAACTTTTTATTTTGAGAGAAAAGATATGTGTGCTATATCTAAATTGTAAAGTAATGTTAATCTATACCTGCTTTAAAATATGCTTAAGTATAATTATACCCATTTTCCCAGTATGAATTTTATGGTTTTTTCCGCATTACAAAACAAGATGTTTACCCACGAATAGAGAAGGTTAGTAAATTTATTTTCACAAAGCACAACAATGTTAAAAAAGTTAATGTTTTTTTTAGTTGAATGGTATTTGGGTCATAATGTACGATTAAAATCAAATAAACCCTGGGAATGTTGAGATCATTGGGAAAATTTCAACGACAATGGGGGTGTGCAGTTAATGTTACTACTCTTTCCTTGAAAATATTTAACTGCATCTACTTTTTTCCTATTAGGAAACAATGACTCCGAGTCTAAGAAATCAAGTATATTTATATAAGGTATTAAAATTTGCTTTTGTCATTTATTCTGACGTCATTTTTCTATATGAACACACTCATCGTAAATTTAATGTGACCACAGAGAAAGTTAGATAATGAAAAGACAATAATGACTAGATTAATTGCGATAAGAAATATGATTTTTAAGAAATTACTACAATCTTTTTTTCTAATAGAAGAAAAGAACCTATTTTTTGTTAGATTAAATCTTTTTAATATAAAGTTATATTATGTAACTATATGCATAGTTATAAACTATTAAAAATTAAAAAAAAATAATATCAGCTTAATTAAAAGATGAATTTAATATTTTCTTAATTTTATTATCAACCACAAGATGACATACTTGTTAAACAATAAAACTGTTTGTAAATGAGTCACATGTAGAGAAAGCAATAAGCCACTCTCAAACAATTTGTTATCATTCTCTTGATTGTATGATTAGAAAAAAATTATAGCTTTAAATTAAAGTACATTATCTTCAGACATTAAATTGAAATTTGAAAATATTGTCACAGACATTAAAGGTATGAAGGGAATACGTAAAAATAATTTTAAAAATTTTAGTGATTAATTAAATACATTACGATTAATTATTTCTAAAGTGAAAATAAAAACAGATTTTTCTTCTTCTATTCTAGAAGAATAAAAATTCGAATTTTTTCTTTGATTTTGCGTATAAGATATGTTTTTGGAATCCGGAAAAACGTTACGCTAGGTAGATGGATTGATAGAGCGAAAAGACTCTTATTTAGGTACTCCCAGAGGAATATCTAGCATGCATAAATATAATGATTAACGGTTATAAAATATTTCTCCTCCTAGAAATACAACGGAAGCTGTTTATATTGACTTACTATGGGTTTAATTTGAATTCTTTTTTTTCGCAGACAAAAATGTATTTATGACAATTATAGATTTAAACTTCGGCTTTTACTTTCATACCATTTTTTTAGGTATTTAAATAAAACATTTATTTACTAACATGTGAAGGTTTAGTGTATCCCAAAATTGCTTCTTAAATTAATATCTAATTGTTTTGATTTGATAATTATTTTTTACTTTATTTTTAAATAACAATAATAATAAAAAACACTATGTAGAAAGTTAAACTTGTAAGAATATTGTTTTTTTAATGGCATTTCTTTGAAAAAATGTCTATAAAATTAATCGAAAGCAGACTTTTTTGTTTAAAAAAATATATTTAAAGTTGAATGAATTCGAAATAGAATCTTATTTCGCGCACTAAAGATCTAATGACGTAATGCATCTTATTGGATGCTTTAATGCATTTACCAACTGGTTTTTGCATTAATACTTCTTTTTGCATTTATTTTGCTTTCTAATCTTAATCGTAAATAAATAATTCCACATCATAGAAAGAGGAATTTCAAAATTATTTAAATATTATAAATCTCATTTTAATTGGATTTTTAAGTGTTTTGATTCTTTTACTTATTCAATCTAATTTTTTTTTTTCGTATTTAATCTATAGTTGTTTTACTTATTCAATCTTAAATTTTTGTATGCATTTAATCTTTAATTTTTTCACTTTTTCGATCTTGAATTGCTTCTAATAATGATTAAAGTTTATAGTGTTAAATAAAGTTGAAAGTACAGAGAATGTTTCTTTCTCACTTTGTGCTCGTTAGAAGCGTGGGAAGAAATCTTGAATATTTGAATGTTTAACCATATTTGTACAAAATATTTCCATAAGACAATAAATAGTTCACTTGAGGAGAGACATTTATTAACGCTAATTTAGTTAATTTTAGCATTTCTCTACCTTTTAGAGAAAAATTAGTCCAGTGCAAAGCATTCGTATTTGGAAATTTTCAGTGTCTTTGTATTTATTATATTTATACTTTCTGTTTAATTCTATTTTTATTTATATTTATCGTTACTTTTTCTAAAAACACCACAAATAGAATATATTTATTTAAATTTAGAACATATTTCTCGAAGGGTTAAAAAAAATGTTCTTCTGATACTTTAAACTTTTTTCCACATTTTTTAAAATGAAATCATTACAGTTTCTACAAATGAATAGAGATTATGATTCATTATCAGAAGAAGATGAAAATATTCGCACATAGAATACATAAAATGCATTATGAGTAATTGTATTAAAATAAAAATGGAAAGGCGAATTGTGATTAAGAATTCAGAACGTCTGGATCACACGTTGACCCGCATAATTGTGGCCAAGGGCATAAATAGAGTGGATGTGCATCGCGCATATTATTTTCCTTTAAATATCCATGTCACGTATAAATGTGAAAACAACAAAAGTTTTCTTCTTTTTTCCTTCATCATTTATTCTGCTAAACAGCAGACAATTTCATCTGATGAATCAGACTTGTGTGCACTTTAATGTGCGATTTCTTTAAGACTTGGTGTAATTCTTAAGTAGGTACGTAGGAGTGACTGAAATATTCTTGAATATGACGTTTCGTTATTAATTCACTATAATGATGAATGATGATAGAATCAACATATTATATACCGGTAGTGAAATAACGTCAGATTCTTGAAATTCTTTCATGCTAACGCAATATGCAAATCAAATTATTAATCCAGCTTTGAGAATATAGGAACAATAATTATATCTGTATTCAAAAGCTTATATATATATATATATATATATATATATATATATATATATATATTTATAGCAATATATATAGCTAATATAGCTTATATATATTGATCATATATATTTATTAATAAACATAATTATTGTTTCTTCTTTTTGGCTTTTTTATATTTTTAGCCCCCAAATTTCACAAGTTCTTTATTTGCTTCTTTGTCTCTTCTTTATTATTCTTCTCAAAAGTTTCTTGAAAATTTCACTTTTTTCCAAAAGAAAAAACCAAGGTCTTGAGATAAGTATCAAATGTCCCAATTCATTCTAGTTCTTGTGGG